GGTTGCCAGTCCCTTCGAAATCTGGTACATACGGTAGACGGTACAGTTAGAAGGATCGTCGCGATGGGCGATTCTCTGATAGAAGTCATAGCTCTGGAAAATGTGGTAAGGCACAAAGGAAATGGCATACAGCACGAGCACTGATGAGACCAACAGGGCAACCTTGCGTTTCTCCAGTGGGGTTATACTGACATTTTTCCACACCACTGAAATCACCACACAGTAAGCCACCAAAGTAACCAGGAAAGGAACAAGACACCCAAACACAGCAAGAAACACTTTGTAAGTTAAGTGAGTGCTCTCATACCCAGGAGTTGTGCGGCAGACCGACACACACAGAGTCTTGTTATTGTTACTGCTGTCAGGGCAAACTGAGGCAAATTTCAACACAGGGCAGGAAATGACTCCTACGATGATCCAGATGATGACACTGACGGCCTTGGCGTGGGCAGGCTTCACATAGGATCGGGTAAAGAAGGGACACGCGAGGGCCACACATCGGTTCACGCTTATCGCCATGATGAAGAAGATGCTCACATACAGGTTGCAGGCGAAAAGGAACCTCTCGATTTTGCACACGGTGTCACCAAACACCCAGTGTTTCTCCAGTAAGTAGTAGACAATCAGCAAAGGCAGGGTCAGGACATACAGCAGGTCACTGACGGCCAGGTTACAAGACAGGACAACCCCTGTGTGCCAGTTTCTTCTCTCTCTGACCACCAGCAGCCACAGGGCAAACAGGTTTCCTGCCAGGGCCAGGACGAACTCAACTCCATACACTGAGGGCAGCAGGGCTATTTGAAACTTCTCACAGGGGAATTGGGGCTTCATCTTGCTTTCAGTTGAAGGACTACGTTATCAAACTGCTTTCACACAGTCTGTACTGTCCAATATCTGTAATTTCAAGTATGTTAGTTCATTCAATTTGAATGAAAGTCATTTTGTTCAGATTTAAATAAGGAACATCTTTGATTACAGTGGTTAAGTATGAGAAGTTCTTTTAATAAAATATTACTTTTTTTAAATAAAAAAAATAGAGACTTAATTTGATACTTAGAAAAGCAGAAATTTAAATATCAACGTTCACTTACTGAAAGGCAGGTGTACAGTGGTCAGTGCTGTGAAGAAGCTTGTAACCTGAAAGTTCATGTCCTGTGTGATATCTGTAAAGAAAGCGTGAAAAGCTCTTTCACCATCCCAATCATCTTGGACAACAAAAGTGAGTGGGACTTTAAGAGCTTTTATAAACCCGAGAGTTACTTCCTCTCTCGGCCTCTGTGCTTTACGCAATTTGAAGAAGCAAAACTATGCTGACACTCATGGCATTTCATTTGCAAAGCAAACTGGTGATAAACAGACCGCAGTCTTAGTGTTAAAACTGATTAAAATGCTTCCTATCATGCTTAGTCATATTTTGATCATGTGAGGACAAAGGTGTTACTGAAGCTTATCAGAAAGTACTATTGGACACTTCAGAGCATACATGACATACATACAGAGCATACAGAGCTGCCAATTAGGTAAACATTTGAAAAAGCAGAACTAAACTAGAGGAAAAATATAGTTCTGTTATTTAAAGCTTCTTAGAAAATGCAGTTCAAAAGGGCAAATTATGACAAAATGTAATATAAAAAAGTCCCATGCCAGCATAAATGGCCACTCAAATGAGTTTATTGCAAAAAGTGTCAACTTGTTCACAGGTCATACAACTAAATAAAATACCGTACTATTCATGGGAAAGTGCCTCAGATGTCATCTTTGGTTTTGCAGGGCTGAGAAATTACAATAGAGAAGCAATAGTAAAATAAAAATAAAAATCCTCCCTTTAACTGAGTTGTTTGTAGTTTAAATATTTACACAAAAGCAGTCCAAAAAAAGCAATTACTTAAACCACTCTGCAAATATGAATGTAGATGAACTACCAGCAAACTCCTGCAAAATTTAGTTTGATTATCTGTAGTTCACACGCAAACACACGGCTATTTTTCTGGTGCTTTGAAAGTCACAGAAACAAAAGCGTAACTGAAATGTTCTGTAGCATTAAAAGTAAAACAGTAGTCTTTGGACTAAACTTACTACTGTGTTAAGACAGATAGATAGATAGATAGATAGATAGATAGATAGATAGATAGATAGATACTGAGTTTGACTTTTGGGGTAACAGACATAGAAATCAGGTCTACTTTGAGCAGGGTTGGTGGGCACATGTGAATGTCACATGAGAATTTTATTATTTATTTTGTTGGAATATTTTGAGAGATTAAGAACTGTTCCATAAGATTAAAATGTATATTGTTCTTATTTATATGTTAGACTTTTATTTTCAAAGGTCAACAGCAAATGTGACGAAGCATAGATGAATTGCTTAAACATGTTTGGCTGTAGAAATGAGCAGATATTCTATTAAATGTTCATGTTTTCTGGTTCTGTCATTTTTGTACATAGGCATACAGCATTTTAACACAGTGCCAACCAACCCTGTGATGGGTCTGGTTGGCACAAATGCACAATATGACTTTAATCACAAGTCACCTCACTTTAGAGAACATTTGTGTACATGAATTTATAGTTGAGACCTTTAAATTTAATTTGTTGCTGGTTATTGTATTCTAAGATAAAAGAGATAAACAGTAGAGGGTAAAAAGTGTGCTATCCACCCCTGGTCTCCTCTATTTATCATAATCAAGTATGATTATACACATTTAAACCTGCTTTTTGGATTCATGCTAACTGGAAAATCATATTGCAGTTTGACAAACAAAGTTTATGTTATCTTTATTCATCAACCACAACCAAGCTTGTGGTTTAGTCGCATTTCCCCCAAGACATAGCCATAAGCCGTCTTTTTTAATGTCTCTCAAGCCTATAGTGCTGCTGAGGCCTCTGGAAACATTTGATGAGATGAGAACAAATTGAATGAACACTAACCCATAATGTAACTGTGTTGAAGGCTAGTAGACACATGTTTATACAATATCCTTGTCAAAGAAATTTACAGTAAAAGTGATGAGGATACATTTCAAGCCAAGTTGCCGTTTTGCAAGTTCTTAACATGACCACTTACTCCGCATTATATTTAAGTAAAAACAACAGAGAAAATGCTTCAGATGCTTCGACTCTCCCTGAGTGTTAGTCTTAGAAAAGATAAAAAATAACCCTATGTCTTTCATGCCGTATTGTTCAATGTTACCTGATCACTGATCCAAGAAATGTCTCATTGCTACTCACAGTTTAATCCTTGGATGGAGTCATTGGTGGAAAACAGCTTAGGAGCATCAGCAAGACAAACCTAAATGTCATAGGTGCGGTCTCTCCAGAGGGGCTCCAACTAAATAGGTGACCAGAAAGTTCAAGTTAAGTGAGAAGCATACCTGCCAGATACATTCTTAAAATTCCAAAGTGTGTGTCTCTGCAAGTAACTCCAGAGTTGAAGAGCTGAATGAGAAAAACCAGAAGTCTTTGCTGGGCCTGTCTTAAAGAAAAGCAAAGATCACTGGCACCCCCAAGGGGGGGGGGCATGGCTCCTCTGGTACAATTTCCTACCCCACCCGTGGCAAAAATTGGAGGTCGATATAACTGTCTTTTAAGCGGCATTTCCACTAAGCAGTCTGGTTCACTTCAGTTCAGTTCTGTACTGTTCCCTATTTTCGTCACCTCTGTTGAGGTACCTCGCACACTGATTGGTACTAAAAGGTGCAATCACTGCAATCCATTGATTGGTCAATGGAGAACAGTCACTCTTGCTTAACGCTGAGTTGTGGCTAGTTTTGCTTCTTGTAATGTTACTCAGTGCTTGAGTTTGACGATGTGAATCCACAGACACACCTTAAATTTCAATACAACTTTGACCAGTCCATTTGTTCTTATCGTCTCTTGGATGACATACACTTTTAGTAATGAGTACAAGCATTTAAAAATATGTATTGATTTAGTCTGGATCATGTGAACTGCATATATTTTAGCCTAATCTTATAACAAAAATGTCAGAGCGTCGCTCTGGTGTGGTCCGGCAACACTAAACCCCTGCTCTTACCTGACAAGAACTTAGTGCACAAACCCAGCTAGTTCTTTTTTTGTTCTAAAAATGTCAGCGTGCTTTCCTGTTGTGTGGACGATAAACAAGGTGCAGATGTCTCTCTGTATCACTGGCTTAAAGGGAAAAAGAGTACTGGATGAAACAGTGAGTAACAACAGAGCCTGCCCACATTTAAGAGTACTGTCCGTGGTGGAAATACCAAACTGATCCAGGGTCTTGGTACATGCCGCAGGAGTTACTTTTGGTTCTAAAGGTACTATACCTAAAGTTTTTGGTGGAAGTGAGTCTGTGGCACACTCATTTTTTCTAACTAGGTAGTGGTATCTTGTGAAAGAAGACAACATAAGACATCCATTGGTGTTAACCATGTCTGCATAATTTGTTGGGAAGGAGGCTAATAAAGCTCCAAAGTTTGGCTAAATTGTGGCGAGGAAAAAACAGGCAAGGCCATTTTCAACGGGGTCCCTTGAACTCTCACCTCAACATATCTGAAAGAAAATGGGTTCTGTGGGTACCCACAAGTTTCCTCTAAACTTGAGATTTGTTCCTGGTTAATGCTTTGTTCCTTGCAATCAATTTACTCCTTAAAATAAAAGCTATATGTTAGTCTTTTTTAAGAAAAGGGCAACCAGACTATTTGAATGATGAATTACCTGAGGCATATACAGATAAATAATAAAGCAGGATTGTTGTGGAACTCAAATTAAATGTGCCGGTATTAGTCTACGCACATCGGATAGTTTTCAACTAGCCTATATAGTCTACTAAAATGGCAAAATTGAATTCATGAAATTCAGTTTTCACTTTTGGTTTTGGTGTGCCACCAAGATTTTCAGTGGCCCCATCAGGCCACTCCTATAAATAACATTTCTGGGAGCGCCACTGGAAAAGATATAGGACACCCTGAAATTATCCCATGCTAAAAAACTGACTGGCTCACTAGAATCATCCACAACATTATAAATTTCATTTTTTTAACACTTTATTGAACAAGTACGCTTTTAATATAAACTCACACAGTGTGAAAAATATATCATTTATGTTCTCATCTTCTGATTTTCAGCAATAAACAGTCTCACAAACAACCATCACTCACTGCTGAGGCACTGATGGCAACTGGAAGTTTGCTGCCATCTGGTGGCCGCACATAACACATTCAATGTCCAAGTCCAGAAGCAACGAAGAAAAGGTTCAGCCTTTTCCCTTCCTCTGTTTGAAGCCTTGCTTTGCTCCCGCACCTTTCTTCTTGAAGGCCTGACTGCCCTTCGGACCTTTAGATTGGAAAGATTTGTCCTTATTTTTCTTTCCGCCAAACGTTTTGTTCCCTTCAAATTTCTTCTTTCCACCAATTGTTTTGTTCCCTTCGAATTTCTTCTTTCCACCAAATTTCTTCTCCCGATCACCAGATTTATTTGCTCCAAACGCCTTTCCTCCAGGTTTCATTTTCTTTCCAAATGGTTTCTCCCCATCCCCTGATTTCTTCCATCCTTTTCCTGTTTTGTCTCCTAGCTGTCCTCCTGGACTGTTTCTCTTGGGTAACTTAGCATCTCTGTCTTTTTTAAATGATTTACCAGGTGACAGCTTTCTTTTCTTGGCAGGTCCGTGATTTCTGTCTGAGCCGTGCCTCTTCTTGGCACTGGGGAACATGTCTGCACAGAAGAAAAATTCTTGGTCAATAGATGAATTTAAAAAAAAAAGACCCGAGAGCAAATGGTTTATAGCACACTAACTATATTCACCTTCATCTGGATCCTCTCCTACAGCCTGTCTGTAGTACTCCACCTCATCATCAGATTCAACAGCAGCTGCCTGATCATCCTGTGCGCCAGGATCCTCCACCTCACTGTCCTCTTCAGCCTCAGCTTCAGCACGTTTCCTTTTAATGCCTTCCAGGCTCTTTTTCCTGTTAGGATGGAAACAAAACGTTTTACACTTCACCCAAATTAAAGAAAATGGAGACAGCAGAAGGGTCAAATTATTTGCAAGACCACATTACTTGTTATCTTCTCGTTTCTCTTTCTTCCGAGCAACATTTTGCTCCTGCTCTTTCCGCCGTGTCTCCTTTGCTTTTAGCTGGGCCTCCTTCCTGTTGAGAATCTCCTGTATTTCCTCCTCGGTCTTGGAGACTTGCAAACATAGTACATAACAACTTCCCATTAAAAGACGATCTGTACAAAGCCTACATTGATCAATATGGAATTTAGATGCATCAGTAAGCGTTTACTTTTAGAGAGAAATCATAGAAATCATACCAATTTTTTCATCATATACACCCAAATATATCAAGCAGAGAGGTAAATGAGTAAGAACACAGTGCACTCACTCATGGTGTGGTAAATGACGTTCCCCTCTCCCATGCCTTCCTGGATCTTCATCAGCTGCAGAGTAATGCGAGGACCAATCTGAGGACAAAATGCAACAATTCAGGTGACATTCAAGCATCATCATGTTGTTTTCAACCATTAACGGGCCTGGACAAAACATCAGTACAAGAATACATCTTATTACCTCCTCTTGCAATATGTTATCGATACACTGGCGCCATATATCAATGCATTATTTAAGCATGCAGGTGCTCCAAACAGATTGCCCTACCAATCTGACAAGAGTCAGTATTTCATGAGTCCTCATGGTGGCATTTATCAAATGAATGAGGGTTAAAGACGTAATTTTCCACTGGGAAGACGGTCTTTCCCCAGACTATGTAGTACAGAGATGCACATACTTTCAAAATGGGAGTTATATGACCAGAGCAAAGGGGCTGAGGGATTTACTTTTGCTCACAAGGCAGAAAACCTTCATCTACCAAAATACAGAGCGCCACAGCATAACAATAAATAGTCCTGCTGGTCGGTGACATAATGTGAACTTGTCTGTGTGACACATTGGCGGCCGGCTGGTAACAAACGATCTGCTATTACAATCAAAGGATAAGCTAAAATATGTTTCATATGTACAGTTAAACAGTGCACTTAAATATGTTTCTGAAAACATTCTAGGTGAGAAATAGGCAGTGCAGTAACATGATCTTAGTTTATATTCAAACAGCAGTGCTTAGTTTTATCTTTGATCAGAGTTCGAGAGAGCGAGATACACTTCTACACTATCCTTGGTGGCGGCATGGGTGACGGATATTACGTAGACGTGTAAGTACAGCCTGTAGCAGGGAGATCTTAGCACTGATAAGATGAGGGGAAGTTTATCACAGTTCATTTACATATACTACACACGATACCATACAGAGCTGGTTGAAAATAGGCAACGTGTCCCTTAAAGTAAACAGAAGTTAACAAACTTGCAGTGAAGAAGAAACTGTTTAGGAAAAAGGAAATAATGGGAGGAACAGGCGAACCAGCTGTAAAAGTGACTGTTTCTTTTTAAGTATGTGCTGTAAAGTGGATCTAATTTATGTCAATGTGAGCGGTGATTCAAGTGAAAATTTTAAAAGCAACATAAAGATTTGGAAAAGTAGGCCAACTTAAATATTTAAAGAAACTTTAAAGTGTTAAATTCGAGAACAGAATTTGGGTCTTGTGTCAAGGAGGACCTAGCTAAGACTGCACTTTTTAGTCCTTTGTTTTATCTCAGTTACCAAAATATGTGAAACTGAAACCACAGTGCAGTTAACAAATACATAATTCTTGATTTTTTGCCTTTTTTAGGATTATTTATTCTTCTTCGGTCACGCACGTCATGATGTATCGCAAATGACTTTCTTGCAATATATATTACATATCGCAGGATCATTGTATCGTAATCAGTCGTTATCATGGGCAACCTATTGTGACAGTATCGTAAGTTACTCTGTGATTCCCACTCCTAAACTGTTATATTCCTCAGCACGCTCACCTCGGTCAAACGGACAGCACTCTGCTGGGACGCCATGTTGCCTCGGCCAGAGTAGACCTGTGGTAGCTCAGTTATGTTGTGCTCCCCGTCCTGCTCTGCTTCACTCTCTGAAAGGTTCGCCCCCCTGAGAGTTGTAGGGGAAACACCAAACAGTTCAGATCGCATTATCAATTCTGCAAATGTTAGAACAACAGCTACAGATAATCAACAAGCCAAGCGCCTTTTGACCTCAGGACTTAAAGAACTGCACCTTCACAAGAACCTTACTTCATCATCAGCTCGCTGATATCCTCAAACTTGCTCATGTTGGGGAATTTCTCCTGCATCAGCTTCTTGACTCCGCGGCTCATGCCCACAGGGACGACCTTCAGGCTGCTGCAGGTTGGGAACGTGATCATGTGGGTCAGTGTGAGGTTTACTCAATAAATAAAAAGACAACTGGTAACTGTGTGGAGGCCCATCAGTGCGTTTACTTTGAACATGCATCACTGAACAGTCAAGTTACAAATGTATCATCATCTGAGCCCAACATCTCTGTACTCTGTCAGAGCAGCTACAACCAAGAGTGCAGGTGTGCACACACACGTGCCAAGACTGAGAAAACAATAATTTAATGTTAATAACAAAATATCACTTACTAATGCCGGAATTCAATTTCCTGGGTCTCTGGGTTGTAATTCAGCAGCACACACCTCTTGATGTTGTTGAGGCTCACCTGGAAAACAACAATATCCTTATTTTTTGGGCTTGAACTCAGGGTTGAACTTTTACAGTGCAGAATGACTCGAAGATTCAGAAATCAGAAAGCGTTTACTTTTAATAAATCTTCAAAGGAAATCTCAGAAGACTATACGTTCATCATGTCGACAGGGCTTTGAATCTTGAGTCACCCAAAGTGACACTAATACAATATTCAGCTGGAATAACGTACCTTGTGCACATTAATGGAAGGAAACATGTTCTGAAACATGGTTGCCATGAGTTTAATATGCATGCCATCAGATCCAAAGTTATTAAGGATGAGTAGCGGATGATGTGTGAACTGCTGCTCATGCATCCTGTGCTTCTTCAGAGATGAAACCACATCTTTGACAAGAGAGTACTGAAAGAAACAAAGTTCAAAGAGTCCTTATAAGAGAGGGAAGAAACTTAGGAGTTAAAATGACTTTAGGTGTTTGGGCACATCAGTGCGTTTACTTTGAAAAAAATCACTGACAGTCAAATATTAAAACTTCATCATTTGAGCCCGTCTATTGTTCATGTGTCTTATGTATGAGTTCATGTATTTACCTTGAGTACCCTGAAATGAAGCGTGGGACCTTTGGGAAGTCGAGCAAGTCTCTGAAAGCACAAGAAATGTGGGGTTGGGTGGTAGTACAGGCTTTATGTGGCAAAACTGGAAAGTCCTCCAGTACAGAGGAGCTACAAGCCTATAGTGTGATGTGATCTTACCATGTTGATAGAGCTGGGAGTCTTGCTGAAGATCATGAAGTGTGTCACTCCCAGTGGTCCTGCGATGGCCACAAAGTCTTTCAGCACATTCTTTTTCCTGACCTGAAACAGACAAAAAAAGCAGGGTGTTAAACAGCATGATATGGCAAAGATGCTTTCATCAAGTTCAAACCGATTTATTGTGGTTGCTATTGAAAAGGTCACACCCTCCCTCCAGCAGTGAAATTTAAACATGCATAAAATACAAAAACATTATTGATAATAAAATCACACAGGTGGAAACAAAAAAAGAGAGTTTATATATAAAGATACAAGAATGTAGAGGAATACAAGCTAAAGTAAAGAATAAAATATAGCATACTATTTAAAAGAGATAAAAGAAGAAGATGATGATATACTTTATGTCTGAAATACACACACGCACAAACAGCTCCTATAAATGCATTAAACAGAGATGTCAGAGTGACAGAGGCTGCCTTGCAGACACCCCGAGCAGCTGGGGGTTTGGTGCCTTGCCGAGGGCACCTCAAGAGTGTACATAAATATGTATATAAAGCTGCAGACAGCTAAGTATTCATTTTCATATTACATTACTTCAGGAAAACCTCAATACTTGACTAAAAAAATGTAATAAAGCCCATATTGACCATGCAGCTACACCTGTGATGCCATTTAAAGCAACTGGAGGACTCCACAAAGCACATGGCATCACCCAGCAGTTGCTTGCATGTGAATACAGTCAGATCTGTGCTGAAGACAGCTGCTCCAGCTTTTAGTCTTACCTTCAGAGACTCTGCAGTGAAAGGCTCCATGACCCTCCGCATGTCCACGATGAGCTGACCCACGTTTTTCCCAACCTGACCCCGGTGAAACACGAAGGAGTGCGGGATGGACCCATACGTCTCCTCGGCCACATGGTTAGCTGTTACTCGGGCTTTCTTCTGGTTCTTTGTCTGAGGGCATGATATCCACATATTAATAATCACGACAAAAGAAAAATACACTGGACAGAGCCAAGTCAAAGTTAACGTAACAAAAATGCTAGCTAACGTTAGCTATAGGATCTTACAATTCAGCTAGCTCTACTAGTCACCTCACTGCATTTCAACTTCACGTTTTTTATATATTATACTTTGCATTTTCACAACAGACCAACTTCTATAATACTAGTTTTAACTTCACATGAGGCTAACTCGTCACTTCAGGCTAACGTTAACTAGCTAGCACAGGCCAACACTTACCTTTGATTTCCCCATTATTATTCAGTGAGACGAAGAGCACGCTAACTTCGTCAACATTAAAAACATCGACTAACGCTACACTATCAGTATGCTACCCAACAAAATACACCCATAATAACTGTAAAATCTACAGCACGTTCATCTTCGAAGTCAACGCGACGACTTCCACATGGTTCCACCGCCGTGTGTCACACACTAACACATCCGTGCTGCTCACACGTCTTCTAATAGTTCCTAGCAAAGGTGGTCCACGTGTTTGAGCTGGTGCCGCTCACTCTTCAGTGAAATTTACAGTAGATTATATAAGGTGTGTAATCTATATATATTTTAAACGTTAGAATTTAACATTTAAATTCAAATTTGCTTCACTGGCTTGATAATGGTGACGTACAGTATTGCTGGAGTGTGTTGTACACAGTAAAACCTATGTGCAACACATAAAAATGGTTCAACTTATAATTACATGGCACAAAAACATTAATAAAGAGTATTATTTATTGATTTTTTTTATTTGTATTTTCTCCAACTAAAGACCGTGGAGCTGTAAAAATGTTAACCATCAACACAGTAGAAAATGCACATTTTTTATTTGATTTGTTCAGTGTTCAAGTGTTTTATAAATCAATTTATTATTTGTATCAATAATTTCAAACATGACATTACATTGTACAGATGCGTATTTCATGTTATAATATAAAAAAATGATCATTTTAGCATCATATAGGAAGCAACAACATCAAACATACCAAAACTACAACAGACAACTTAGAATTATATGTTTTTGATATGTGAACTTGGACATAATAGGCCCACATCTTGTTTGTTTTACTAAATATAATTTCCCTGATTATTTGAGAGTTTTCAATAGCTTTCTTGTTCTTTGTTATTTTAGAAAGTTCAAAGAGATATTGTAGTTTAGCAAAAAACAGATGGATATTTGGTGTAATCTTATGGATGTGATATTTGCAAACAAGACGGATAAGCTTGAGTGCATTGTTAGCAGACTGTGAGCCTATATTACAATTCAGAAACAAGACCATATCTTCTAAAATTGGTGTCGATCTATTTCGATAAATCAACAGAGAAAACTTCAACGCAGAATTCTTGAGAGTAAAAACACTGATAGAATAAGTGAGAGAAGGACTCACTCTGTGTTTTGAAGCACATGTCGGAGAAATACCTGCATTAAATTTATGTAATAATGTATTGCAGGGATGATATCTATGTAATATCTTTAAGTGAACAAGTGTTTTAGTCTGCACCGTTTTATCGATGCAGTTCCACAGTGTGACCACTAGAGGGTAACACCTTCATCTCCAACTCGCCTGGAGGAAGTCACAAAGCAGACACTTAAGGTAACACCAAAGATGTCCTCCTGACTAATTGATAACTTTGATAACAATCAGTGAATATTGTAACATCAAAAAGGGGAAGAGACATCTTCAAGGGCAATGCTGCACATGTAACACTTTCCACCCATTGTTGGTCAGTGAATTAGCCTATACAGTATGTTGCCTATGCTAAATGCTAAGCTATCTGTTTCCCCTGCTTTCAAGCTTCTTACATGACCTGAACAGGTTTGTTGAATTTCTTAAAAGTACATAAATATAGAACTGAATAAATAAGGCAATGATTACAGAAACAAATAAGAAGAGAAATAAAACAATAAATACACAGAAACTGATATAGTGAAGTAGTTTATTTGGACGAGTCATGACAAGTCAAAATGTATGCTGTGAGAAAGGCCTATAGGACAAAATAAAACATTCTACAGGATAAATATTAATTTATATCAAGTGTGACATTTTCAATTATTAAACTTTGAAAAACCCATTAAGTAATATAACTAAAGGTGTAGTTAATGAGTGGGAAAGAGAGTTATGTAGAAACATTATTCAAGGGTATCAACAGAGAGCAGAGAGAGAACTCTAACAAAACCGGAAAATGTTTTATTTTAGATTACAGGAGGAATTGAAATCACAAGATGTAATTATAGTTTCAGAAGATAGCAGAAGTGCAACACAGCCAGCTGCTTTGAAACCACAAAAGAGAATTTAATTTTAGGTGTGACACCTCCACCCCATCATTGAGGGATCTTTGACAGCTCTGCAGTGCTGTCAGTAGCAGGATACAACATGGGACAACTGTTGCGACATCAAAGATATTATTTCAAAGTGTTTACTGACAACACTGGCCGCAGAATATGGTGTAACACGAGGTTGACATGGAAATGCTAAACAGTTGTGACAGACGTTTACAGGTCAAAAACTACGTGATGCTGAAATTAACTGGTTGTGACCATCGGTGCAACAAACTGGAATCACCCACCTCACAACATTTAATGCTTCAAATTTTTCATTATTCATTTGTTACTATTATTATTTTTACAGCAGAAAGCAGACACTGCAGTGCTCTATAAGTTAATGTAATGTCTGATGTAGTATTACTCAAGCAAATTAAAATTAAAAAAATTGCAAGCTTGTGCCAACATGTCTGATCAACCATGAAAGTGAGGCCAGGTGTCATACTTGGGCTACACTGCTGCATTTTAATGAATGAACTTTAATTTGAACCTACAAGCACAATTCTGAGGTACATTTCCATTTTAGGATACTTTGTACCTGCAAATATTGTACTTTTTCCCCCAATTATAAATATTTGACAGCAACAGTTACTGGTTACTTTGAAAATTAAGATTTTTACATATAAAACATAATAATCTTAGAAGATATGATGGATTGTTATGGAAAATAATTCAAACTAGCACAAGCTTTGACATTAAAATGCTGCTTAAATGTTAATGTTTCACTAATAAAATTATGACATATTTTCTAATACAAAACTCTGAAAGGGGCCCGAAGAGATACAAGTCAGTTTTGCTGTATTTTTACCTCAGTAAACATATGAATGTAGGACTTTTACTTGTTGTATATTTTTACAGAGTGGTACTGCTGCACCAAACTGTAGGCAGATTAGAGATATAGCCTAGATATATACATATCTGGGGGTCATGTAGTCATTGCTAAGCCTCCCTCTGGCCACCAATTTAGACTTGCCATTAGCATGTTAACTCCCCCAAACAGGTACCAGAACATATACACATATACAATACATACACACACCCACACACATGTCCACAAATGATGTAATACATAAAACAGGCAAACACATGCTGACACACAAACTCACAAGCATACACATACACACAAATGTGCATTGAATAGGAGTACGTACAGTTGTACCAGCCTGTAAACATGTTTATTTCTGCTGTAAATTTGGGCATTATAACACAGGGGTCTATAGAGATTGACTTGCCTCTGGAGCCAACTTGGCTGTTAAAAGAACTGCAGTTTTTGGCTTCATCTTTCAGCACTTGGTTGGAGGTCTACCAAAGTACCAGGCACCGCCCACTGGCCAAACCAGCGTTCTTATTCTACAGCTAAATAGGACACTAAAATATGACCCCGAGATCATTTAAGGTGAGAAATGGACGAAGCAGTAACAGAATCTTGATTCATATTTGTTCAGCGCTGCCTAGTTTGTCAGTTTGGCCTCAGTTCAGGAGCAGTGATTGACATGACTGACAGCTGCTTTAGAGACTCCTCAGCTCTGATTGGTTGTTTTGGTTCACATGCAGTAAGGCCATTAGAAGGCAATAGAGTAGGCAGAGAAGTATGATTTACTTTTTCACAGGTTATCTGTTTCATTTAATGCCTTGTGAACATAGTGACAATTTCCGCAAATATGACAAAAGATTTTTTTCGTAAAACCTCCAACTGTAGCTTTAATGTTTTGTAGAATTTAGTAAAAGGATAGCGTCTCTCACAGACTGAAGCAAACCCACACTAGCAGGGAGATCATGGATCAAGCTACAGATAGTTAATTCATAAATCAACAGAAAACTAATCCGCTACTATCATTTGATATTTTTTTCCTAGTATAAAGGCAGAGCATTTTCTCTTTCTAGCCTCTCTAATGTGGAAATTTGATGATTGTCTTTGTCATGTATAATGATTTTTTTGGGCTGTAAGTCGGACAAAACAAGAAATTTGGGGACATCACCTCAGGCTCTGGGTATTTTTTCATTATTTTCAGACACAATAAAGACAAGTCAAGTGATTGATGAATTAAAATATTTGTTGGTTGCAGCCCTAGTGTTAAACCACTGCATTCAACTACAACACTACTTCAGCTGCTTGTTGGACAGGGTCTGAGGCAGGACAGCAGGTTGATGGCAGAGGGAGGAGACATCCAGCTAAACAGCAGGTACTGGGAGGCGGCACCTCCCCCAGTTTGTAATTATTTGTCTCTCTCTTTAGAGATCCTGAGACAGAACCTCCGGAGAAGAAGAGGCAGTCTAGCTGCTGATAAAACTTTGTTGCTTTGAGATTTATTTGGGAACCAAATTTCTTACATCTTGATTTAAACATTTACGGAGGACCACAGGCGACTTTTAATTTGGAAGAAACTTTAATGTGACTCCTCCTGATCCATGAAGATGTGATTTTTGAAGATGCGTTAGCCTTTATTTTACATCTGTGCACTGCAGCTACACACTGGAGCAGAACATAGACATCCTGAACACGTTTCATCTGCTACGGTGAGTTAAAATCATCCATTTGAATGTAGAAATGCACTGGTAATGTACTGATTATCCAAATTTACACTTGTTCAAATAACTCATTAGCTTGTTTAATCAATATACAATCCAGAATATTGTTGTTTAATTCAGAAAAAAAGTATTTGAAGTGTAGACATATACTCTTGGTACCAGTGAGAAAGTTACACAGGAGATTCTTGTGTCAGATGTCCATATTGACCTATCTGGGTTCATGTGTTTATGGTGTTGACCCTGGTTGTTGTGGCTGGATGTGGAGCTAACTCTACTGTTGACCATGAAATGGAGGTGTGTTTGCTCTGGCTGGTTGATGTTGACTGTTGTCCTTTCACTGTTGACCTGCTAATAAATTCCAGCCAGGAGGAGATGTGTGTACTCTCACTATGCAAGGAAACATCTGTCAACAGTCAACACCCACAACACACTGTTTCCCTAAAAACAAAGTTTAAGACTTGGTATCAGTTGTGATCAATGTGCTGTCACTGCTGTGGTGATTCTAATCATGTCCTCTCCTCTGCTGCCAGGGTGTTCTCAGGAGTTAAACAGATTTCATGGAGAAGACACTGACAATAGGTCTGACTCTTTTCTTGACGCTGTGTGTGGACATAGCAGCAGCAGGAGGGAAGAAGGAGGGGGCTCATGGCGAGGACACTCAGACACGTTCATCCCGGTCTTCAGATATAAAAGGAGGCCGTTGCTCCTACACTTTCATTGTCCCACAGCAAAAACTGACAGGTGCGCTGTGTTTGAACACACAGTCTGCCTCTATCAACCAGTCAGAGGTTGCAGTGCTGCGGGCGGAGCTCAGGCGGCAGCAGGAGCAGCTGGAGAAGCTCCAAGGCCAGCTGGAGCAGGAAGGGTCCCTTGCCATGGAAGTAAGAGCCCTGCGCAAAGAGAGTAACAGCATGAATTCTCGCATTGCCCAGCTCTATGCCCAGCTTCTACATGAAGTCATACATAAGAAAGACCAGGCTTTGGAGCAGCGAAGGGTGGAGAACCTCCTGCTAAATGCTACAACACAGGTAAGCAGACAACTGCAGTCCTTGTCACAGACATTTCAATTGTTATCAAACTCATCCCTATGACTGCTGTGGGTGGTGCAACATGTCAGGCACTGCAGGTCTCCAGTAACTACAGGGAGCTGGAGAAGAAATATGGAGCCCTCACGTCCATGATGAGCTCCCAGAACCAGTTTATTGCCCGTCTGGAGAAGCAGTGCCAGTGCAGGGAGTCCACCCAGCCTGCTCTGGTAGGGAACAAACTCTAGTCTGCGTGTTGCAAATTTATGCTGAGTTTTTGCACTTGAACTGAGAATGGTGTGTTGTTTTGTGTTGGTCTGGACAGGTGACGACTGAACCACCAAAAACCCAGTCTAATGTGCATCCTAATTACAGCTCTGAAGCCAACGAGATGACAAATGATGTTCAAAGGGACCAAAGTGCTCTTCCACCACAGCAGGAAAAAACACTTCCTTCCCTCCCCAACACCACAGCCAACACCACTACAGACCCTCCTTACATTAGTTTCCCTGTCACAAAGACCCCAGGTACATCAAATGTTAAGAGTATCTTATTGCAGAAGTACTCAATGAGACATAATCTTGTGTGTATACGCTTATCAATCTTTTCTCAGTGTTATTTAGCTGCTTAGATAAGGAGAAGCAGAGGGAGTCAGTGACCTGCTGGTAGGAGCCCTATCTCTCTGGGAATGCCTAAACAATGTCAAAAACAGCCAGCAGCTCTTATCAGAACAGAGAATACTTTATAATGAAAACACGCTCGTGAATCACAGCATTTGTTGGAGCTTGTTGTGCAACTGGAATGCTCAAAATGACAGAGTAGGGGATTTGAGCAGTCTTACCAACAAGTCAGCAGAACCAAAGTGACTCCACCGTGAGTGTGTGTGACTCAACTCTTGCTAAAAGGTCTGATGAAATACCGTGCATTGCCACATCTTGTCCTTGTGAACGTGATTCAGCGTGGACTACAAATTCTTGTCAGGGATGACCATTAGGCATTCGAGTGGGAGATTTTCCTCCATGTATACATTTTCTCTGTGCAGATTCCTATGTTCCTCTTATCGCTGTGACATGAGACACTGAACATATGTTGGGAGAAAAATTCCTCAGCTTTAAAAAGATAAGCTGGAGTTGATTTGTGCCTGTGATCAACCTGATGTTAAAACAAACAGAATACCAAAACCATCTGTACCCGGCACCCTTGTGCTTTTCAAAACTGTCACTACGGAGTTAAATAGTGAGTTCCACACAAAATAAAGTAACTCCATATCGGGGGACAAAATAAATAAAATACAGGTTGATAAGATTCATTATGCCTCGATCAGAAAACTGTCTTGATCCCTGACTAATGAGATACCAATACCTTAATACCTTCCTGCCATTTTAGCGGGGTATGCAATATATTTGTGTAAAAGGAAACAAGGCCAAGTTTGCAACATTTCACAATCTCAAATATAAAGAAAGAAAACCTTCTTTCACCTGTTTTCTTACTAAACAGAAAAATACAACTGTACACTCTGAATTTAAGTTTCTCTCTTTCACAGAACTAAGACCAACATAATTGCCTTGTTAACTCATCATAAAACACACTCGATCAAACTCAGCAGAAACAAAACTCACAGCAAACTGTCTTGGTTAGTCTTTCCACTGATCCATCAATTACTATCTCTGATTTGGTCGCCATAAACCCTTAATTCACAGTTAGATGTGAAAATATGCTGGATAACTTCATGCTGTTTTTCCCTGCTGTCTCCCCTCCCTGCTGGCTTTTTACAAGTCCTGTAATGTTATCCCCACCATTTGTAGCCACTACCCCTCTCAGCTCAGCTCCCTCTCAGTGGAGACTGACTTCTGGTGGTGTGTTGTGTGCTATAATACATTGCGTCACCACAGCGTCTTAGTATCAGTTTAATAGAAAGAGGGGCATCTGTATTTTTGAAGGTATTGAAATTATTCTAAATACCCTGGTATACTGTAATACCTTGATACAGCCCAAGCCTAATACTGTATATCTGCATATTGTTTTACTTATCATGGCTCCAATAGGATCCATTCTCACTCCTTTTCTCCCATCTCAGGGCCGTGGCGGGACTGCCACCATGTGCTCGAATCAGGTGAGACCACCAGCGGGATCTACCTGCTCCGTCCACAGAGTGCCAATCGCCTCCTGCAGGCCTGGTGTGAGCAGAGTCGGGCTCAGGGAGGGTGGACGGTCATCCAGAGGAGACAGGATGGGTCGGTCAACTTCTTCAGGACTTGGGAGCAGTATAAGGTGATTACACACAGCTGCAAGTCTGCAAAAGACACTGAGGCTCTTTATTTTGTTCATTTATAGAAGAAAAAAGACTAGAAGTCTACGGTAATGCTAGCAGCTCCATCAGCCCGTTGATACCTGGTATTAACTCACATTTTGGTGATCTGGATGTAAGTTGGACAGCTGAGAACATTGCTATTCACATCTGTATCTATCATGCGTCTCCAGCTGACCACTTGTGTTCAGATTTCATTAATGCCTACGTCACTGACGCTAGAAGACCCAAAAGCCCCGTGCACAGTTATCACGTCCATACTCTTGATGGCTACTTGCTAGTATGCATGCCAGTTATAGAAGTGGTTGTGTCGAGACAGCTGGAGATATCACTGTCAGCAGAATTCACCACGTCTCCCTCTGTAGAGCAAAACTAAGGGCAGTCATGCAACACTTGATCCAACTCGTCGTTAAATGAGCAAGTTTTAGAGTGTTAGCATGCTGTCACCAAGACAACCACCACGTCCTGCACTGATGATACAGTCCTTGTATAAATTTATGAGGTCAAATGTGTCCCAGGCTACCTCGGCAAGTGAGTGAGTGATTGGATAACAATATATTTTAGTGGTTGCTCACACTTGCATTTAGTACCATCCACTTGTGGTCAGATCACCCAAGGCGCATGTTAATACCAGGTATAAACAGGCCCTGTGAGGTTGTACTAAGGCACAGTGCTGATTTGAGGTAAATGCTAACCTTGCCATGCTAACACCCTGATGTTCAGCAGGTATAATGTTTACCACGTTCACCATCTTACTCTAGCGTGTTTGCTAACATCTGATAATTAGCACCAAACAAGGTACAGCAGAGGCTGATGGGAATGCCATTAGTTTTGCAGGTTTTCAGTCATAAACCAAAGTATCTGACAGTTTGAAATTTTGACCTGATGATGGGGCTAGACTAAAAGTCAGACGATCATAATTGCTATTACAGTTCATCCTGAAAGGGAACATGTTTACCACATTTCTTGGCAATCCATCCAAATGTTGTTGAAACATTTCCTGAAAGGCTGGATATCTGAAGGAAGAGTCAGAAGATCCCAAGGGTCAGTAGGAGTCATCCTCTGGGGAGGATACCAATTTCTGTGCCAATCCATTCAGTAGATGCCAAAATATTTCACAGGATAAGTAAAAACTCCTGCCCCCTGAATAAAATGTCATTGCAATCCATCTGATAGTTGATAAAATCTTTCAGCCAAAGTGACGAACAAAGTGACTGACTGACAGTGCCAACTCTAGAGCATGGCTAAAACTGGAGGAACTCATTAAAGAGAATGTGTTGGTGTGTTGCAGCAAGGCTTTGGGAATCTAGACGGGGAGTACTGGCTTGGCCTTGAGCACCTCTACTGGCTGACTAAACAAGCCCAGTATAAGCTACGGGTGGCTATGGAGGACTGGCAGGGCCGGCAGGTGTTTGCTGAGTATGACAGCTTCCACCTGGAACCGGAGAGTGATTGGTACCGACTCCGGTTGGGACAATACCACGGCAACGCAGGGGACTCCCTCTCATGGCACAACAACAAGGCCTTCACCACTCTGGATCGAGACAAGGACAGCTATACAGGTCTGCTCTCCCCTTCGTCCTGCTTTATAGCTCTCTGTTGGTGTTTTGACTTTTTCTGACAGTAAGCCTGTTCCTATGTTGTGTCATCAGGCAACTGCGCACATTACCAGAAAGGAGGCTGGTGGTACCACATGTGTGCCCACTCCAATCTGAATGGTGTGTGGTATCGGGGCGGACACTATCGCAGCCGCTTCCAGGATGGAGTCTACTGGGCGGAGTTCCACGGAGGGTCCTACTCTCTCAAACGAGTTACCATGATGATCAAACCCTCATAACATATTAGCATTGTGGACGTGTGAGAATGGAGCAACCAATAATTAAATAACTTCCTGAAAATGTGATGAAATTTGCACTTAATGTGATTGAAATGTAATAACTTGACCAATAATGTAATATAATGCTGACTGATATTTTAAAACCATTTTTACAGACAATGAAATGACCTATAGGTGGGTCTCTTTTTTAAACGGATGTTTTAATAATTTTGTCATGTTAGCCGTTTAGTTGGCAGTAACACTGAACACTGACTTCATGTTTAGAAAAGTGGACTCTAGCATTAGAATTTGAAATTTACAACAGGTGGGCTGGTGCACTGTTACCAGGCAAAGATGGTAAATTAGCAAAATCCCAATCAGCTGGGAATGAACCTGCCCATAGCCCTGCTGATAGGTTGTTGTGTAACGATTTATCATTAAACCAGAGTAGATCTGAGATAAGACACCACCAGAAGACGCAAACGAGCAATGGAGGCAAAACAGCCACTTACATTATCTGTCAAAATTATTTCCATTAAAATTATTATTATAAATTATTATTCTGATTACCATTAAAAATGACCCACCTGTATGGTACTACATAGGGGAAAAAACAATATTACAATATCAGTCAGGCAGTGTTAATTTAGTTGGTGAAAACTATGACTGAAATTTTTTTTCATAATGAAAACGAGACAATGACGAGCTAAAAATAGATCTTGATGATAAAAACTAAGACAAAATCTATGCTTCATTTTCGTTGACAAGACGAGACGTGATTAAAATGTTCATGGTCGACTATCAGACATTGGAAACTGAGAGCGGACATTTATCTTCAAATGCCGCGTGAGCAACAGCCTGGCAAACTCCGGTAAATATTCTGCCCCAGGATGTTCTGCTAGCCAGCAAAAATACTCAGGGTGTATGCTGAATCGCATACTTTTTCTTTCTACTCTTAGTACGTGCAGCTGCCCTTAAAAAGTACATGCTGTTGTACACACTGGGTGTTTCTCAAAGTCAAGGAAGGTTCCTCCAACGGCCAAATTTCAAGGAGGCTATGTCATCGACCCCCGACGAAGGACTGTTCCAATGTCAAGGATCCTTCTGAATTTCACCAAGGACTGAGTCCTTCTTTCAGAGAAATTCCGAGGATGCATGTGTGTATCCTCAGTGGGTATAAAATCCCCACAATGCTTTGCATACGGTTTGCTGGAAGTGAAACCTGCACCAGCGAAGCTCGGCAGGATTTAGATAACTATGTCATTTATTTGGATTAATATCGCCACGAGTTTTTAATCATACAAGCATGAAAAAAAGTATTGACAGAAACCTCAGAATTTACACTTTCCAATGTGTCCACTGCCAAATAATGAGATTTTTAAAACAATGTGATCTTAGATAAAACATAAAAGTTTGGTTAGTCATTAGTCATTCACAGCAGAGATGGAGTGCTTAAGTGTTTTTGACTTATATATAATATATTGATATGTTCTCCCTAAAAGTCAGTTTTCACTCTGAAAATACTGCTTACATTTGTTTAAAATTGTACAACAACATCAGAAAGTGCCAAAGTCATCAGAGTACCCCGAAACCCCCTCAGTCTGCTGAAGGGTTAATGACGCACACCTGGGGACACTTGTTAGCCTGTTCCAATGTGTGTTTGCTTGATGTTAGGAAGGACAACCTTGGAAGGACTCATGCCAAAGAAGGATCCTTGACTCTGAGAAACACCCACTACTTCCTCATAACGTTACACCCTGAACTATGACCCTCTTACTCATTTATCCATTACCATGGAGATGAAAACAAAATGCCATTCATCCCCCACCTGTCTCTGAGGACAGAACTGACACAGCCTGTCTTCTCCAGGCAGCCAGGTCTGCCTGTGTCTGCCAGTCTCTAGAATCAGGATGTGGTCACTGAGTCTGTACATAGTATGTTTCTCAGTTTCTGATCTGTCACAGCGGGCAGATAGTTTACCATCGTGTACTGTCTGTTTAGAGCCAAATAGCATTGAAGTTTTTTGGGGGGGTTTTGTAGTAGATGTCCAATAGTTTTCCTTTTCTTAAGCTATAACTTGGTCGGGCTGGATTGTGTGAGGGTTGTCCTGTGGGTTTGCAGCTTCAGCTTTTGGTGGGAGATGTGAGTTGTAATCCAGCAGTAAACAATCAGCTGTGTGTGTCTGACTGTGGGTGGTGGAGTTGCTGAATGGATCTGTGGAGTTCCTTAGTTGCAGTGGTGGCTGTTAGCAGCTCTGCCCGTTAGCCCTTGAATAGCAGCGGAACAAGCAGCCACTGGCCACGAGACATCACAGCTGATCCCTGTGGGACTCCACTCAGTCCGAACTGTCTCAGGAAGATTTATGGTCGGATGCTGTTTGTTTGACAAGCAGGTAGGAGGCTCAGTTATGAACTTAGCAGAGTTTTCTCTGACGGAGATAAGAATTTAGTTTTACTCACCAACTCCATGAGAAGACACAAGTTTAAACCTCCAGACTGTCATGTTGCAGAAAGAATTCAGGTTTTAAGTTTTTTATCTGAGTTTACAACGAGCCTGGGTACAAATCCTAGTTGTCTCAGATTACTTATTTTGGGTTTACCGGACCTTATACTTTATTCTGCTTAATTTAGACCTGTTGTCCCCCTTCGTGGACACTTTATTGTGCCATCTAGTGGTAAAGAGACCACAATACACTAATCCATGTAGCCTAAAAACAAGATGGCAGCGATTCCTGCCAAGTCAGTCTGCAGCCAGCCCCGACACAAAAGTTGACAACGTCCAAACCTGATCAGATATAATGGTTGAAACTTAATTTATGATTTATAACATGTAGTTTGATACACCATACAAACTTTACCAATTTTGGCAACAGTAACAATCTTAATTGGAAAGTACTCATTTGAAGGACATTGAGACCGTATTACCGTCGTGTTTGATGACAGTAGGACTTTATTATTGTTTCATATGAGGACATTGGGACTTTATTATTGTTGACAATGTTTAGTTTTTTATACTCATCAGGTCCTACCAATCCGAAGGAGAAATTAAAAATGCATACCAAACAAAATGTCAGGTCTCAGGAGGCTACACCTGTCAAAAACTGCTGGAGAAATGACAGTTCGAAAGTGTTTTGAAATTATTTGTATTTGTAGAAAAATTTGTCAAAATGAAATTTTTATACTACCTGTCACCTTGACTAAAACATTTTGAGTTTTCATTGACTAAAACTATGATAAAAATGACTAAAATGTGACTAAAACTAATGAGCATTTTTGTCTCAAGAATGAGGCTAAATCTAAAATAGCTGTCAAACTAACACTGCAGTCAGGAAAGTTTGTAACATAATTTGTCAGGTTATTACATTATTGTGTTTTTATTTCATTTTCAATCAGGTTAGGTGCAATTTCAGGGCATTGTTACATACATTCTCAGGAAACTATTACATTATTGGGTGCTTCAGGGTCCTTTAATTAAGTATATGTTTCAGTGTTATCCCTGTACAGTGCTGAGCCAGTGTGCATCTGTTAAAAGGGGAACATCACCTAAATAAGAATTCCAGTATGTTATTTCCATGGTCTAAGAAAGTTAAATCAATATTTGTTTAACATGAGCTACTCTCACAAGGCCAGAAACCTGAGAAATAAGTCTCACACTTGTGATGAAGTCAAATATAAAGTCTAGACTTTAAATTTTAGTTTTAGCACTTGAGGTTTTTTTTGATTCAGAAGAGAGCTGCTTATGTTTACTCATATTTTTGGACTGTCTTAAACCATGACAATATCATGAATCAACTTTGAAAATAGGCATAGTTCCCCTTTAATAAATATCATGTACCACATGTCTGTCCTCTGTGTTGCAATTTCCTGACAAAATTTGATGTTTTCCAATTTGCCGTGTGCTTTTCAAATTTAAACATATGCCAAATTAGCTCCCTTTTTAAAGAAATACTTTACAAAAAACAGAAAGTGAGTACACAAGATATGGAGGAGAATCATGTATTACCTACGTTTGCTCCCATGATGAACAAACCTGTGGTTTTGGTGTCATATTTCCGCTTGTAGGCAGTTTCCTGTATATCAGGGCGTTGAATTTCCCCTGGTGTGCTTGCTTGCTTTTTAAGGCTCGTGTATCGTGTGAGCAGCAGGTAGTTCGCCATCAGGGTCAGCTCTGAATTAGGATTAATCCTGTCCAGATACTAAAGCTAGACAGCCACAGGACCATCCTGGAACACACCTCATCACATCTTCCATCTACCTCCTTCCTCCCATGTGTTCATCCAGCATACTGCCTCTCAGGATGATGGGCCTCATCATGCTGATGATTTCACTGTGTGGTGAGTGTTAATGATGCTCTACGGGAGCTCTATGTGGGCATTAAATGTTAGACTTTATTTTTTGCTGCTGCTAAGGGATAAAACATATTAAAATACTGGCGTACTTTCTTGCTTGCCAGTAGTTTCAATATCTCCACGTGATGGTGACTGAAAAAGAAACCAAAAAGTGTGTGCTAGATTAACCAGAAAAAGAAATTATTAACCAACTTTAAATAATTACTCAAACTAGCAACACACAAATATTTTTTTTTTTTTAATTAAAAGATATTGTGTTAATCCAATTTTCTAACTTGATTATTTTGAGTATTCACAGCAAGAATTGAAGTTGGATAACAATGTTCTTTTTTCAGTGTAATCATTAACATCATTATTTTAAAGTGTGACTTTTTAAAATGCGATTAAAACATTCACATTTTAAGTGGCAGTAGGGCGAGGTGTTATGGTGTTTGTGGTAATAAACTTCCGCTGTGCTATTGGTGACAGTTGACTTGTGTAAACCATGCATGGGTGTGGTGAGATGGAATCCATTTTGAAATAAAACGTATTAGAAGAATTTAGATTTGTTTCTATTCAGCTTTATTGTAATTGCACAGAGTAAAGGTACTGAGACATCTAACAAGACGTGCAAAAAGCAGTTAACTGAAGACGCATGTAGCTATGTATAGTGGTTACATATATTAATAATAATAATAATTAAGATTAAAGGGTAGATATGAATGCACAAAGACACTGGTTCCCAACCTTTTTCCTTGCGGGACCCCTTTTCTAACATTAAGTGAACTGGCGACCCCTGACTATTGTATATATTGTACTCAGTGCATACAGTAACAGTACAGAACAACTGATAAGCTTACCCCAAATGCCTAACTGCAGGACGTGTGTGTAAAATAAGCAATTATAATGAATTTTGAGTAGATCACTTCCTGTGAGTGTTGCATCAAAGATTAGTTCTCCTGATATTTGTAGGAACCTTTTACAGAATTTTTTTTATTTTATTTTATTTTTAACAATCAGACATATTTTAAGGACTTTTTTTGAGACTTTTTTTTGGTTTTCATTTTTCATCTGCTCGTCCATTGTTTTATTAACTCTTTGGCTGTTTTAAATTTGTACTTTTCTAATGCAGGACGAGACTGTTTGGCAGAGAGTGAAGGCGCTGTGATTACAGCTTGTGTTCAGGTCTTTGTCGTGCCCTGTGAGATTAAAAAAAAAAAAAAGAAATCTTGGATAGTAATCTAAACTTAAAAAAAATCATTTAAAAATCAAAATCAAGAAAGCCTTGTAACTCCATGTGAATCTTTTGGGAGCCCTGGTTGGGGTCGGACCCTGAGGTTGGGCAGCAGTGCACCAAGACATACAGTCATGTGCTTCAGTTACAGTAGGCGGTGCAGATATAACTATAAAATAAACAGTGCAGGCTCACTGCAAGTAATCCTAATATTGAGGTAAACATGGTGTGCACTACAAATTCAATATATATGGACAGCGGTATAAAATGTATAGGTATGTGAGAGTGTGTATAGTGCAACTAAGTAAGTGTATGTGCAGTATTGTGGCAGATCTATAGTCTTAAAAACAGAAACTTCAACTTTATATGTATTTCTACATTTGAAAGGTGATGTAAAGTTGTACTTTTTACAATCCTGAAACAAGGTGTTTTTGTCAAGAGACCTTCCATTTACATTGAATCACAAATCTTTATCATAAGCTGTCGTATGACTTGTACACAGGAGGATCATTCTTGTTTTCTGATGTTTAAAGTGAAGATCAGGACTGTTATTACTGGCATAGATGCACCATACTTCAATCACATGTATTTAAAATACAGATTTCTTATTATTTTTGAGTATTTTCTCATTTGTATTTTGCTAAACAAAAAAAAATCATATACTTATTCTCAAATAAGACATTTTTATCAACAGAAACCTGCAGAAAAATTTGTTTCATCTGTGCTCCCTGGACTGCAATGTTAGTGGATACACAAAGGTGAATACCTTATCGTTGAGGTTGTTGTTGGTATCGGAGGGAGGGTGGCGCTTCTCTGTCTCTTCTACTATCTTGTCCTGTATCATACTCTGCTCACTCCTCTACGCCTATATTTATTGCTCTTGAAAAAAGCCTTTGCTAAATGCTCAGTGTTATTGTCATCTGAAAGAACTCGTGCATCACTGTGGTCTAACTGTTCAGCTCCCCCAGTTGTATTTCACTTTGCTGTTCACTCAGTCAGTCAGTGATCTCTTTGATGAACAGAAACCACCCAGCATGCACTGCTGAATTCGCAGCCTCCCACCTCCTAGAGGGCAGTTGAGGTCAGAGCTCTCGAGGAGACTAAATGTGACCATATCAGCTTGTATAGAATGCAGTTTTGTATTTTGAAATCACAATTTTCTATTATTGTATTGTATTCTATTTTGATACATGTGATGAGCAAGTATGTGTACTTGTACTGTTACGAATACTGTAAGCTAAAATTCAGCCAGTTCAAAGTATAAGTGACATGCACTGGCAGTCTGAGCCACCAGAGTGCAGCAAAGTCTACTTTTAAAATTCCATAAAGGCATTACCATTTCTCTATCAACAGATGCAAACAGTACCTGCCCTACTGATCTCAACCCTCTCACACTGGAGCCGGACAAGGTTCTGGAAGAATATGGAGGGACGGTGTCAGTAAACTGCACCAGCACAGAAGAGTATCATGATGGGATGTACTGGAGGGTTGGATATAACGTCTCTGAAATAGAATATGACAGTCAGTATATCTCCTGGTCAGTGCCACTGTCAGACTGGAATGTAACAACAGAGTGCAGAGTAAAGCTGACTGGCAATGTTGAATGCAGCAAAGACCTTGAAATCACTCTATACAGTAAGTGTAATTTCAACTGAATATTTTGTAGGCCAATATAAAAGATTAAAAATACTAATCTATTACTTTTTGTTTTGATAGAGAATCCAGAAATGGTTGTCCTGTTCCCTACAAAGTATGCATCTGCATCAGAAGGGACACCGTACGAGCTGCAGTGTAATGTTGACAATGTTGCTCCTGTTCAGAACCTCACTGTGAGGTGGTACAAAAACAATCAAACCATCAGGACAGACTCTTTCACCAAGACAACGAAAACTCCAGTAACTGAGTCTTCTATTCTGGCTGTGCACCTCAGCAGAGATGAAAACGGAGCCAAGCTCAGATGTGAGGCTCAGCTAGACTTTGGGTCATATGGATCACAACCTCCTGTTATTTCTAACACATACCCTGTTTCTGTGAACTGTGAGTAAACACTTTGTTGTTTCCAGATACCCAAAACTGAATACTGTTAATATTTGGATAAATGAAAAGCCTTCATTTGCCTCCTCAGATGCTCCTGAGCTCATGAACCAAACGGAAGACGTTTTTGTGAATGAGGGTGATAATGTCACCCTGCACTGTGAAGCTGAGGGGCGCCCTCCTCCTGTCTTTAGTTGGACACATGATGGGACTGTTATTTCAGAGAACACAAATATCATCAGCATCATTGGAGCCACCAGCACAACCTACAACTGCACAGCGAGAAATTATCTGGGAAGCATAACGAAGCAAATCCATGTTCATGTGACCAAAACGATCAGAGCAGCAGCCCCTGCAGCCCCTGCAGCCATCACCACCCCTGTGCCATCAACACCAAAAGGTACACATCCTTGTGTCCTTTACGTTTGTTTTAATATGGTATCAGAAATATCTATTGTGCAGCAAAATGAAGCTCTGATTGAATATGCTTACTTCTGAATGACAGCTTGCCCCTTAGAGTTGACACCTGCTGAAGTCGTGGTGCAATTTGGAGATTCAGCTTCAATTAACTGCAGCACGTCAGATGATGATATTTTCGGAATTGGCTGGGAGGCTATATTAGGAGGAACAGGCCTTGAAAACCCTCCTTCTGTCCTCTGGATGGTTAAAAAACTGGAAGACTGGACCATAAAACCTTTGTGCTACATCACTCGGAAAGATAATTCCCAGTGTTCGTTGTCGGCAACCATCACTCTTTACAGTGAGTATAAGTCTACAGAGTGTACTGTACAATATCATCTCTGTGCATCTAGCGTTAAAGTAAATATGGGCAGGGGCGGATTATGAGACAATGGGCCCCTGGGCACAAATATGCAAAAGGCCCCACCACCTTTTGTCGTTGTAGTCATTTTTACCCCTTGGAGTCTTTTCCTGGTCACATGTTAATTTGAGTAACATTTTGGGCCTATTCAGTATTACAGCATTTGTGTATGCATATTTCTTATACAGTTGTGATTGCAATTTTAGGGCAATCATCACATTTGTTTTTTCCCCTACTGATTATTTTCCCTTGCTTTATTCGCAGAGACTCCAGACACTGTGTCACTCTCTGCGTTGCATCAGGGGCCGATGATGGAGGGCACAGAGTACACGCTGAAATGTGACATCCTCAATGTGGCTCCTGTGCAAAAGCTCAAACTGAAGTGGTACCACAACAACGAAAATGTGCACACAGAAATGTTTAGTGACACCAGTATTACCCCAGTCAACGTGTCCTCCACCTTGAGAGTCACTGCTGAGAGAGGTTACAACGGAGCACAGTTCAGATGTGAGGCTGAGCTGCACCTCGGGCCAAACGGACCAGAGATCGTCCCCACTGTAACCTCAGTACCTTACATTGCTGCTGTGCACTGTGAGTTCCCCCCTTACCTATTTGTAACAGGCTTGGGTGGTGTCTTTTTTCTTTAAGGTCACTACATTCTACAAGCTCTATTGAAAATGATTCCCCCGAGATTTCTACCATAACACCTTGATACCACCCGAGCCTAATTTATGCTTGTGAGTTTTTTTTAAACTTGCTAGCCACACACCCCTAATATCAAATATTGATGAATATGCTGATGTTTGATTTTAGATAAACCACTGATCCAAGATTGTCCAAGTAATGTTGCTGGTGTGGAACACAAGCTCAACCTAAACAATTTGACCTGTCGAGCTGATGGGAACCCTCCACCCATTGTTCAGTGGTACCACAAGGGACAACTGATGGATACATCTCAGCCCCTCGACAGGACCCAATCGGGAGGGTACACAGCTGAATTCGTAAATGTTCTTGGCAAGAACAGCACCTCCGTCGATATCACAGTTGAATGTGAGTGAATCAGACCTACTTGATTGCATATAAGTTTAATTCTTTTGCCACTATTTATTCTAAAAGTGTGTTGATACAATGTTCACAGACGGCCCTTCGTTTGTTTGTGATAAACACTATGAGGTTGAAGAGAATGGTAAGGTCCCGTGTGAACCCATGGGAATACCTAAGCCTATCATCACCTGGCATAAGGATGGAAAAAAGATGGATTCCCCACAGCGCTGGACAAAGCATGACAGTGGAACATACTCACTTGAAGCAACCAACAAACATGGAACTGCCAACCACACATTCGACCTTGATGTTTTGTGTAAGTTTTAGCATTTGGAGTCACATAAATAGCCTGTGTATATTGTTTTGTTGACAGTAAATTGCAGCATCTTCTTTTAAAATCTTCCCCCTTTTCTCTACAGATGCTCCTGCGTTTGTGGAGGGAGCTTCTGAGAACGAAAAGGAGGTGACCTCTGGTGAAAATGTGACTTTGGACTGCAGTGCCGAGGGCAACCCACCTCCTTCGATCCAGTGGAGTTACACCTTTGACGTGAATGTCAGGGAGGCCACCAGGGGGCGCCAGAAGAGCATCATCGTCACAAGAGCCACGTCTACCAATGCTGGTGTTTACATCTGTGTTGCCACGAATAAAGTTGGGAACGTGACAAGATCTGTCAATCTGATGATGAAAGGTATCATTATTGACTATGTGCAGAACACTTATGGAAATGTAGGCCTGCACAGTAAAGTGGTAACTGATGTTGATGTTGTTATATGAAAAAAACAACAAAAAAAATGGCATCAAGTGGTGAGAAGTACACTCTTAATTTATGTTGTTTTATCTTGTTTGTCATACAGGTAAAAACAGTGCATTCTCCATAGCAGGTATTTGGTGGTGGCTGATTGTCTTGATCATCGTCGGCGGCATCATCATCGCCATGATTGTTGTCCATGTCCACCGGAAAAAGCAAGGACAATATAGTTTTGTCTCTGATGGCTCAGATAGGCCTATCCCTATGACTACTCAGTCAAATGGGGTGCAAGGTTAGGATATTACTTGATGAAGGGGCATGGGTGGACTATGAGACAATGGGCCTCTGGGCACAGATTTGCAAAAGGCCCCTACACCTTTTCTACACGGGAGCAAGACACAGACTTTGTGGTGGTTGTTATTTTTGTCTCAGTTTTGTGTCTCTTTGTAGTCATTCTGCGTCTATTGTGTCTGTTTGTAGTACAGAAACTCTTTATAGTGCATTCAACAGCAAAGTAAATACGGAAGGTATTATGTCATGGGCGGATTATGAGACAATGGGCCCCGGGGCACAAATATGCAAAAGGTCCCACCACCTCTCCTACATATGAGCAACTTGTCTTTGTAGTCATGCAACTTTTTGTGTCTCTTTGCAGCTCCCTTGCATCTCTTTGTGTCTCTTTGTGCTCATTTTGACTCTCTTCCTGGTCGAAATGTGTTTATTTGAGTGATGTTTTGCAAATGAATGCCACGGGGGGCCCTGGGCCTGTGCCTGGTGGGCCTGTAAATACTGTACACAAGAAAATAGAGATGTAAAAATTACTTGTAGCACTTGTTACAACATGTATTCTTATTTGTTGGCCTTTGAAATTTACCCTAGTTTTTACATTTTTTATTATTCTTAATAAAGTTACACAACAACTCCATTGCTTACTGAATGTACTTTATGATTATGATCTTTATGGTAGATTTAGCTTTGATTATTGTCAATGCCGGAGTTTGCATTATCACAATATTTTGGAAATGGTCACATTAAAAAGTGTAGGCCTCTTATTGTGCAGCCACATAGTAAGCTGGGGACAAACAGGACAGGGGTGAGTGACTTTTGATTAGGAAAGCATATTGTACAAGTAGCCTAATTTCATATGAATAATTCAGTCAGTTTAAATTGGTTGTTAGTATAGACACAAGTCTCCAGCCCTTTATTTAATCACTCATAACATGAATATGTGAATTTGGTGAGTGTGTCCAAGCATGTGTTTTTGGGTTTTGAATTTTAGGATGTGTCAGGGCAACACAAAGCCCCTGAGGCTCAATGCCTTGCTCAGAGGACACTCGTAAGTAAACCAGGGTCAACAGAGAACAACACCAAGTGCCAGTGTGCAGCAGAGTCCTGTGACCAGTGTCGCTTGTGGTTCAGCGCGCTGCCCCTTTAAGATTTAGGATTTGGGAGTGACGCGGATATGAAAGCTAGTTTATCCCTCTTTCCTTCGCTATGAAAAATATTTGGACAAACCAGACTAGCCACTGCCAGCCCTTGATAATTAGCTAATAATGATGCTGCTTTACATTATTTGTTGAGGGAATCAAAAGCGAAGTGCGCAGTGGTTAAGACAGATTTATCACTAACTGGGGATTAGACTCGCCAGGGCCGTCCTCCGAGCTGCTGGGATAACTTTGGAGAAGTTCTTTGTATTCAGGATAGTCAGACAGCTTGGCCGACAAGCTGAACATGGACTGGGGTACAGAGCTTTGGGTGAGTCCATCCTCTGGCTTGCTTTTGGGGGTAATATTCCCAGGTTTGACACAGCGATGCGATTTCTTACGTAGAGTTTGTTGAGAAAGTCGCTCCTGTTAGTGAGGAATGTGTGAAGAAGCGGCGAGACGCTGCAGAACGGTGCATTCAGGAACCGAGTTCCATTATCGGACAGTTGTTTTGTCTCAAGCGTTTAGCGAGTTGAAACAAAGAGTGAGTGGTGAAACTGAAGCCCACCGCCAACATGTTGCTCTTGTGCAAAGTGAAGCAGTCAATCTTAGATCCACGCTTGCACGCACTTCAGTTGGATCTTTACTTTTTACTGTGTTACCCCGCAGTGTTTTTATAGTGGGACATCTGCAGTGCACGAGGCAAACAGCTGTGAAGTTGCCTAAATTTAAAATTTATAATTGCATTTTTAAAAAAAGGAATAATTTTCTCCCTTATGCCAGACATAAATCACACAGCCCGTTGTTTATATCTACAAGCAAGGTGCTAAATCAAAGTCCAATTTGCAAAAGTATGTCTAGGTATCATATGTCCTGCGTGACTGACAAGAGTGTTAACTGTGGGTTTAACAGTACATTGTTGATGTCAGGCTGAAAATGGTGTCAGAGTACTATTTATTCTGCACACACAAAAGGTGTAAGTGTGCTGAGGTGGGTTGTACCCAGTGGGATGTCTCACTGTTTACTGTCTGGCACACCTTGCTTCCATAGCGATGAAATCAGATGCTGTCACCTGCCTTGACAACAAGTTTCATCGCTGATGAAGTGCCTCATGTGTCCACCTGAGCGGCATGATTATTTATTCAAGGTGTGATTTGTTGGATTGAGTGCTTATGTAAAAAGATTCCATCAGGACATGATTATTTATTGGGCTCAGTTGACCGTTGTTGCAGTTAAAATGAACCGCTTCAGCTGGTAATTGTAAATTATGAGAAGTATTTGCTGCTACCAACAGTGACACTATCCAGAAACTAAACAAACCCTGGTGAAAACCCCACCACATAACACATTACCCTGATGTTTGCCACAGTTTTGTGTCAGCAGCACTGTACCATGGCGATGAAGCCACACATTTGCAAACACTCACACGAGCTCAGGGAACCTGGATATGTAAAATGGAGCATTGCAAAGATGAGGATTGGGAGGTTGTGACCTCATTACAGAGTCTCCCCCTAGGCCTCTTCCCCTGTCCCTTTTCCATTGCTGGTGCAACAGCCTAATTAGTTTTGCCCTACTTTGATTGAGTCAGAGAAACATCCGTACCCCCAGTATTAATCAGAGGCTGTATCTTTCCTGTTCGTGGCATGAAGTTGTCACACTGGAAACTACACACAAAAGCCGGTATTCTTTCTTCAGTCAATGTGAAACACAAATGATTTCCTCAAAGTCGTTTTACAGTGGCTTTATTTGGCTATGGCCGCACCTGTCTGCTTGGACAAAGCCCTGCAGGCATAATTCTGGTAATGTTTGGTTGAAGAGTCATCCCTAGGGCCAAGTCATCTCGCTGGCATCTGTCCCCTGATTGTCGTTAATCCAATGGCTATTTTAAGGCACAAGTTTGCAGAGTGCAAGATCAGTGTCTAAGCAGGAGCTGTGATAGTGAGTGCTACCAGGCCAATCCTGAGAACCACAGTGTGGCAGGTCTGGTCGGGCCAGGCCCCTAATTTTCTGGAACACAGGGTGACTCAAGGCTGAAACATCCACCCAAGCCTTGTAGGTCGCTGACTTTCAGGGTGACTCCTTTTGAAGTTATTTGGCGTTCACTTGATGCCAGATTTCTTTGGAAGTATTGGAAGATGGGGTGTAACGGACGTGTTGCTCACTTAGAGTTTTAACTCTGAAGCATGATGTAGCAGTCTTGTTGCATCCGCTAGCCTAAATCTGTGCCACAAAAATAGGTTATGGCTTGCCTTGTTTGGAAGTTCTATAATTACCAGGGCGGAAGTACAATATTTAACTTACCCATCGAAAATGGTGAAATGAGTGAAGGTGAGAAAGGTGTCAATAAATGTTCCTAAGGAATACGTCACAATATGTAAGAGCTACTCAAACTGTCCAAACTATATGTAAAGGGATGAAGTAATGATGAATTATCCAGGATGAAAGCCACATCTTTACAATTCTCGTTCAGTCAAAATCACAATCATTTGTAAGTTGTCAGGAGCAAACCATTTGAGATTTATGAAAATCAGTTTAGTGCAAACCCAGTCTACGGGGACCTATAAAGATAATTTTCACTGTGGCTTTGGATGTATATAAATCTCAGTCGTGTGACAGCCGCTGGTGTTTGACGAGACAGTAATAATGTCCTTGCAAGTTATTTCGATGCGTTTCAAGCCCGTTTTAATGAGGATGGCTCTCCTCTAACTGGGGTGCTCTTGTTTTGAATCAAGCAGTCACAGTTGATTTACAGAGATTATCAGATGCTTCTTTTTCCGCCATTTATGAAAGAGCACATGGTGATGAGTTCACCCAAGGCTGATTCTTTACCAGCAATGCTGCACTCACTTAATGATGTGTGTAGGCTACATAGAGGAAACAGTCAACATGTACAAACATTATGTCAGAAAAAAAATAAATATGTGTATCTTTTGCGGCGTTGTCAGTTGCTGCTCAGTTTGGTTTTTTAATTCATGTTAAACGGATGCTGATACTTTTGGTAAAGGTAGTGTCCCCTTATTGAGTCACTGAAGGGCAATGTGTTTTATAAGTGACAAATACATCAGACAACATCCTTGTGAAAACAGTGTACACCAGTAGTTTGATCACACACAAACAAAATAAAATCTTTTATTGTGGGACTAATAGGTAGACTCTACTCACTCAGCTACATTCCATCATCTTAATCCCGTGGGATGTTTTTTTAAAAATGTTATTGTACTCGTAGAACAAGAAGCAGAAGGAAAACAATCTAGTGAATCATGTTGTTTTTTTCCTGGTGTAAAAACGATTCAACAATGGCTGAAACCGTTTTTTAATTCTATTTTTGCACCACACTGGGGCACAACATCCCCGCAATCACAGAAATAAAATGAGAGTAGAATAGACAGCGAAGTGTTTGCTGTAGTTATTTGGCTGGCACAGAAGAAAATGGCAGTTGTTGTTAGTTGCTATGGTGACAATACGTCAGCACTCACTAGTTTGAAAACTGCCTGTTGGCCTATTCTCACCCTTAAGCAAATAAATTACAACCATACATCAAACACAGTTTCTGTCTTTCACCAAACTATGACTAACATCAGCTTAGCTGCCGTTAACTCATCCTAAAACACGCTTAATTCAGGCTGGAAAGAAGCTCACCAAACTCATCTTAGTTAATCTCATTAGTCATCTAGTTAGTCGTAGTCCAGTGTTCCAACAAACACCAACTCGCTGCTCTCTGTTGTTTGGAGGCAGCTACAAACATGCAGTTAATGTTAGGTCTGCCCCCGACTTATCGACCAGTAGTCACCATTTAGGGCCATTAGTCGACTAGTCGCCTGCATGTTTACAATATTAATTTAATTCTTAAATTATTAATTTTGGGCGGGGCAACACAATGTTTTGAGTTAAAGGTGTAAGAAAGAATAGTATCAGTAAAATTGTTAACACTGTGCTACATTACAGAGAAATACAAAACCGTACTAATGAACCTTCATTAATATAGGCCTATATTTTATCTACCAGTGCACGTCACACACTGAGCGAGCCGCCTGTTAATGACGCTGTCGGCAAAGCAGTAATGATTGTGCTAAGTGGCTAATGGGCATGTAGCTACTTACATGTTTCAGATGATGCGTCATGTTTGTAGTCGACCAATGAAGATGAGTTTACATATCACCTAGGGTTCGTCCTTCACCTTCTCAAAATGATTCCACACTTTGGATTTCCTGCCCGACATGTTATTAACTAGCCTGTGTAATAACCTCAGGTACCAGCCCTGTGAACTAAACTCCTATCTGATTGCTGCTGAGCGTGGCCACTTCCTGTGTCTGTCCTTCCAAAACATTGTCCAGTCATATAGGTTTTGATTTACTTTGACACTGCGCAGCTCCTAATTGAGTTTCACGTTTGTTTGTTTTTCCCTCTTTGACTAAGCAACCGATGAAATCTTGTCGACTAAAGACCTTTCTGGTTGACTAACGTTTGGTCGACTATTAGGGGGCAGCCCTAATTAATGGCAACAAATTAAACAGGAAAATAACATAACAATGGCTCGCTTTGACGATCCTGCTGCACTGATTTGAATGGAAATGTCCATTCTATTCTCATTCTGTTTCTATGCTCACAATAGGCCTTTTTCATTGAAGCCATTTTGACACGAGATAGTAGGAATTACACAGGTGTAAATAATCAAACTAATGACGGTTGAATTCCATTTAGCTGCTTTGATTTCAGGATCCTTGTATCCTGCATGCTTCCTCACAGGCACTCCCACTGGAGCGCTTGAGCCGAACAGAAGCATCGTTAGTGTTGATAGTAACAACTGTGATTTTTCCTGCTATGACAGGTCAATATATCTGCTGGGAGAGCGGCCTATATTCTCTGACAGACTATTAGAAAGGCTTGAGGAAGGCACCAAGACATCGACTGACACTCCCAAAAAAGATCTGTAGATGACAGCTCTGATGATTCAAAATTATGCCAGGTGTTCTTCTTAAAGTGCAGCTGTGATTCAGGGCGTTGTGTCTTAATACAGAATGTTCAGCTGTTCAGCATATCTCACCTGAGCCTGAGGTGTTATCAACATTATTACATATGCATCGTGCAGCTGTATTGTAAACAAAAGTGTAAATATTGAAATGAGAAATGGCAGATACTGGGAGTAGGATCACTTGAAATAGGAGACAAAATACTGGTTTGAAGACCTCCCTGCTGTCCAGCCTACACAGACGCTGCACCCACAGCAGCTTGCCTAACAATTTCAAACCTCCCCATCAATCTCCACAGTAGATGACCTGTTTTTTTGCACACATTGCCACACACTGATGAGCAGTCCTGAACTGTGATATGCAAATAATAGACATCCATGCAAAACACCTGTATCGAAAGATGGGTGCAGGATGTAACTTTCCATTTCTGCTATTATAACCTCTCCACAAATATAATGCGTAAAATCCACTTAGGCATGCAGTTATAGTTCTGTCATCAAGAACTCAAAGATCTGGACGTTCTGGCTCTCAGTACTTTATTTATTTATATGTTATCTTTCGTACAAGCATGCACCCTGAAGTGCTTCACACAGCAAAATTGAAACAACAGAAAGAAAAAAAATCAATAAACAACAATAAATAAAATATTACAAGACTAAAAAAATACAACAAAAAACAATAAAATGTTTTAAAAAATCATCAAGCGAGAGTCAGTAAAATAAAATGAATACCAGGGATACAAAGTAAGTATTACAACCTTCAAATGAATGCTATGATATTACTTTAAACCAAAAGCCAGAAAAAGATAAGTCTTTAATTTACTTTAAAAATACCAAGAGAGCTTGCCATTCTAATATCTAGAAGTTCCACAATTTTGGGGTGCAAAAACAGAAGGCACTTTCACCGGTGTTTTTATTGGATACATAAGGAACATTTAAAAGAAAAACAGTGGCAGAAACATAACATGAAAGAAAGTGAGATCATTTAAAGCTTTATGAACACGTAAAGATCATTAAAATGAAATCTAAAGGTGCAGGTAGTCCGTGCACTGTCCTGTCAGTGGCGCAATGTGATCCATTTTCCTTGTTTTAGTTAAAACTGGCTGCAGCACTCTGAACTAGCTTTAGTTTTCTTTTAATCCAGTAAAAGGGAATTACAGTAGTCTAAATGTAATAAAATAATAAAATCACGAGGGAGAATTTTATGATCTCTCCGAATTGATTAAAGGTCTTACTTTGGCGGTATTCCTAAGATGCAGGGTTGCAGCCACTGTATCTTACCAGCTGTTCCTTTGTGCCTCAGTTTGATTGCATTTCAATTGTATTTTTAATCCTGCTGCCTTCACTGCTTGATTACGTTATGTGTTTGAGGTTATTGGGGAAACCTGAATTGCTTTTGCAGTTAGTGGCAGCATTAACCTTTCACTAATTAAGAATCTAATCCTATATTCAGTGTGTTTTATGGTCAGTGTAGGTAGTTATAGCCTTCTGTCCTGTTAATGTGGAGAGGTTCGACTGGATGCAGACAACCACTGCTCATGTTTAGATCATTCATAAATAAATAAATCTCTTTTTACACCTCAGCAGGGCAACATTTGAACAAAGTGGTCTCTAACATCCTGCTAATTGGTTATTTACTGCCATTCAATTTCCACTTGCAAGTCACACATCCACATCTAATAAGAAAATCTGTTGTAAACACAAGCACCTTTAGGAAATTGGAAAATCTGTACTTGTAAGTCAGCTGCATTGACGATCATTACTTTTGCTCCGTAATTAATGACTCTAAATTAAACCCCTAACACTGCCTATTGGTTAGATGTTATAGTGGTGATGGATTGCAGGCCTCTAACCTTTCACTGTGCTCTGTGATTAAGCGAAACATTGTCTCATTCATTTGGGTTTTGTCTCTTGTCTCTGTTTTACCTGAGGGGCAGGAAGGGTACAGACTAACATGGCCCGGCTTGTCAGGAGCCCCTCTCAACGTGCCCCCTCCTCAGTACTGAAGCATAGCAGAAAGTGTGGGGGAATTGTTTTGAGTGCAGAGTGAGAGAAGATTGGCTTAGATATCGTCTCTCACTCTTAACAGGCTTGTCTGAGCTTGAAGGTGTCATAAAATGCTCTACCAAATAAAGAACAAAAGATAACATAGCTCTCTCATGCTCTGTAATGCGAAAAGGAAAAGTCAGTAGATTCAGTTGCACTGTGCCAAAGGTTTATGAATTTGAAACTAGTCATAAAATAAGTCAAAGCGCTACATTAATATGCTTATTTAGTCATCCATAATATGTCACATTGCTCAATACAGCAGGACATGTAGGCCTATCAGAACAGCACCTCCTTTTTCCTGCCTGTGACCCCTGTTATGCACAGTAGTGCCCCCAAAGGAGGGCAGGGGAGGCTGTGGCCACTGTGTGTGGAGGCTGACACAACTCTCTTTAAAAAAAAAAAAAAAATTAAAAGGCTGTCATGCATTCATTCTTTAAGCTAGCATGAAGATTGTGGCATCTTGTGAAACTAGACAACCTAAGGCATCCACTGGAACCAACCATGTCGGCATAGCTTGTCGGGAAGGGGGGCTAAATAAAACTCCAGTTTGAGCTAAATTTAGGGCAGCCAAACCAGCCTAGTTGAAAACACTGAATAGATAAAACATTTCAAAACAGAATTGTTGTGGAACTCAAAATGTTAACTATAAAATATGAAAATATATCAGTATGGGCTTCCTTACGTCTCTATATTGACATAGTTTTCAACTAGCCTTAATACTTTAGGAGCATAATGGAATTCTTGAAATCCAGTGATAGCTTTTGCCGCCCCAAGATCCTCAGTGACCCCATCTGGCCACCCCTATAAAAAAATTCTGGGGACGCCACTGGTCGTGACCTTGTGTCCTTCGACTGTCCTCCCTAGTTAACAGCACTGGTGTCTTGTGATTTAAAGCTTGGCGGAAGTTTGGGACTCATTGCCAAGATTTTGTGCACATGTGGAGAGCATCCGTGGAATCCAACATGCAGGAACAAGCGTCAGTGTGTTTAGTTTATTGCCCTCTATTCAAGATTCGTTTAGATGACCTCAGACTCAACCAGACGAACGTCCCAGTTACTACCCAGAAGTTAACACATGTTCCACGTCCTGCAGAGTGTTGGCTTAATATCTTGTCCTTTATTTGCACCTTTTCTCCAGGACCAATATGACATCATTGAGAAGCACACACAGTCCGGCCTGGAGCTGGTGGAGAAGTATGTGAAATTTGTGAAGGAGAGGACGGAGATCGAGCAAAACTATGCCAAACAACTGAGGTAGGCCTCGCTCTTGTTCACCCTTGCTTTCTGCCTCAAATGCTTTGTGTGCAAAACAGTGTGTGCCAGCATGTGTGTGTTTGCATGGGTGCATGTTAACAGGCTGTTTATGAAATGTTTGTGGGGTCTTATGACTACATTCGGGACTGAATTGAACTTGTCTCTGAAACACTGGCCTCATTCTCCAGCTGCGGCCTGCTCGCTCTCTCCCTCTTTTTCTCCTCATCCATGGTGCTCCCTCTCCCAGTTGTCTCCCAGTCTCCAGGCCCACATGTGCTGCAGTGCTGAGCTTTGCTGGAGAGGAGAGGAAGTGGGAGCAGACTGGCACATGATAGACAGGATGTGGTCAGAGGGAGGGAGAGAGTGAAAGGAGGAAGAAAAACTATTTTAATATGTTCATATAAATGGACTGCTGTTTTTAATCCTATTGTATAAAACAGCCAGCGGTTGTGTAAGAATAGTTTTATTTAGTGAGCTTTCTTCTTCTCTTTCCACAGGAACCTCTCAAAGAAATATAACCTGAAACGAAGCAGCAAAGATGAACCAGAGTGCAGGTGAATCACTGCAAAGCATATCTTTAAAGAAAACTAGGTTTAGTTTTCACTTTTTCTTTATTAAGTACTTTTAGCAGCTAAAACTGTGCTTCCTGCGTTTGGAATTACACTTTGGCCCAAGTAGTGTGTGAAGCTCTCGGTGAGGGAACTAACACACAAAGACAGAACTGACCTGCAAATAATATCACGTTTAGGAATCGCCTTGTCATTAGTGTCTTTCATGTTGTAGTGGGGCAGGGGGGGGTTGCTGTTGGAGCCATTTAAATGCCCCTTAAAGGAAGCAGGAACAAGGAAGTCATGAGCTTCTTATTATGACTTGGCCCACTGCTGACTTCTCTTTGAGCCTGTGTATGCATCATCTTATCGGTGGTCTCATCACTGTGTTCTCATTTCTCCACCCTTTCCTCTCTCCTCCTATGAAATGATAGGTTGTCCAGCTACCAATCGTTTTTGGACATCCTGAATGAGATGAACGACTACGCCGGGCAGAGGGAGCTGATTGCTGAGAACATGATGATGAACATTTGCATCGATCTCACCAAGTACCTGCAGGAGCTCAAGCAGGAACGCAAGACGGTGAGCGAGTATAGCAAGTAAATCTGGTATGTTTCCACAGGTAAAATGGTGCGTTTGAGCGCAAAATAATTACACTGAACAAAAACTGTAATGCAACACTTTTTAAGTTGAAGATCTAAGACTTTTTTATGCACACAGAAGACTTATGTGTCTCAAATTTTGGCTGCAAATTTGTTAAAATGCATGTTTGGGAGCATTTTTCCTCTTCCAAGATAATCTGTCCACCTGGCAGGTGTGGCATATCAAGATGATTAAACAGCATCATTACTGGCATGGCGTGACTGCAGGAATGTCCACCAGAGCTGTTGCCCTTGAACTGTACGTTCATTACATTACCGCAAGCCATCTCCAGTGCCGTTTCCATGATTTGGCAGTACATCCAACCAACCACACAACCCCAGAACACGTATAACCACACTAGCCCAGGACCTCCACATCCAGGGTCTTCATCTGCAAGATCACCCGAGACCAGCCACCCGGACAGCTGATGCAATAAATGGTTTTCACAACTGCAGAATTTCTGGAAAAACTGTTAGAAACTGCCTCACAGAAGCTCATCTGCGTGCTCGTCGTCCTCACCAGGGTCTTGACCTGACAGCAGTTGGTCATCACAACCGACTTGAGTGGGCACCTGCTCACTGTCGATGGCGTCTGTCACTTTGGAGAAGTGTTTTTTCCACAGATGGGTCCTGTTTCACACTGTACCAGGCAAATGGCAGTCAGCGTGTATGGAATCGTGTGGGCCAGTGGTTTGCGAATGCCAACATTGTGAACATTGAGTCCCCAGTGAGGGCAGTTAGGGTTATGGTACTTTAACACAGTGGTTCCCAACTGGTGGGTTGCAGTCTGAAAGTGGGTCGCGGGTCTATTCTGAATGGACCGCAAGTGACTCGTGAACACATCAAATTTGTAAAAAACATACTTTATTTTTGAATTACAGTTAATTTCCGGCTCAAGATTTTATTTTGAAGTGCCATTTCCTGTTGTAGAGTGAGTGAATAACAGACAGCTACTTGAAAGAGACAGCAAACTAACCGGACGATGTAGCCAAATGCAAGTATGACGCTCGAACTAATGACTAAAGAACAATCTGGCCCCCTTGGACCAGTTGAGAACCACTGTTTTAACAAATTTGTGACAAAAATTTTAGAGAAATAAATCTGTTGAGACCTTTCAAAAATGGGAGCAAAAGCAAAAATGTTGTGTTTAAATTTTGGTCCAGTGTAGCTTTAAACACACCGTCTTCAGGCTCCTTTTAAAGGGAAACTTGTTGAATTTTTAACACAGCCTTTGTTGCAACAGTTGTCTTCCCTCCTGTAAACAGTTGCAGGTTGGTGCAGGTCTGTCAGTTGATTAGTCGACTATTCATTGCAGCCCTAGAGTGTATTTGCACGTGTCTGCAGCACCACATTCAATAGCAGTCAAGAAGATACCAAATGAGATTTTCAATCGTAGTCCACAGCACACACTGCTGGGAGGGGAATAGAGGCAGATTTACAGGAGGAGTGGAGATGTGGAGATCTCACTGTTGTGGCAGGAAGGAAGCCTTACAGAGTGAGTTAGACTTAGTGTCTCCAGGGGGAGGTATGGTCTGAGCAGTGGTGTGCCATTTTTTCTATGAGGAATGCATTGGCTGTGTCCCACTTAGACTGCGGAACAGTGCAGCCATGTACAGGCTGTTGCTGCAGACGTGATGTCTCAGACAGACACACTGGTATTTGTTTTCTTGTCTGTTATGTTGTGTTGCTTTTGGAGGTCATTGTTTATTCAGTGTCTGCCCCTGCACATGGCTGTCTCTCTTGCTGTCATCTGACCCGCCTCCCCTCCTCTCACTCCGTCTATTTTTATGAATGTCTGCAGTATCTGATGGAAGCCAAGAAGGCCCAGCAGAGTTTGGAGAGCACCTACAAGCAGCTCGACAGTGTAAGTCTGCACACAGAATTTTAAAAGATTGATTAAAGACTTTCCAAAATACATTTTTTCTTATGAGGCGTCCATCATTCTTAATGTCTCATGATTACATTTTTTGTGATAAGCAAAGCTGTTAGGTAGTTTTTAGAGCCTCTTGTGTCTTTGTGTTGGGTTCATTATAAAAAATGGGCAGAGTTCTCTCTAAGCTGATGGGTCCACGTTGGCCAGGTGGCTATATTTGTCTATAGTTAAAACAGATGGACAGATTGCAAAGCAGTTACCCATTTTAGACTCCTATCATCAATCCAAGACCTATTAAGTTATGATTGGAGATGTTCCCTCCCCTATCCGTCTTTTTAGAAAGACAATGAGAAATGCTTTGCTCAAAATAGTAGAACCTCCTCATATTTCATTCAGGCACTTAGCTGACTGAACTAAACGTGGTCTTTCTCTGTATCCCTCCATCTTTCTTTTCTTTCTGCACACCAGAGTAAAAAGCGCTTCGAGAGGGAATGGAGAGAAGCGGAGCGTGCAGCACAGTACGCAGAGAAGACTGATCAAGACATTAATGCCACGAAGGCGGACGTTGAAAAAGTAACAAGGGAGGGGGGGATCTTCATTGTGAGGAATCTTTACCCAAAGTAGAATCAGATTCACTTGGTTAACCTGTTTGTTGTGTGTGTGGTTTCAGGCCAAACAGCAGGCTCATATGAGAGCACACGTAGCAGAGGAGTGTAAGAACGACTACGCTGCTCAGCTTCAGAAGTACAACAAGGAGCAGAACCAGTTCTATTTTAATGATATGCCACTCATTTTCAATGTAAGTGAATGACATATGGCAACATAACACTGTTAATGCTGTCAATGTTTATGGCACAGTAATAACTGGTAGTTTGCCAAAATATTGCTAAACTGATTTAACCATGTTACTAACATTTTGAGACTTGACTCTCTGGTCATATCTTGTACTTTTATTTAGATTTCTATGCTGCATTTATTTTTAGATTTCTTAACCACAAAAATCAAAGTTGCACTCATTGATTTAAAGCCAGAGACGAACTTTTCACTTAAATCCGTTTATTTTATTTCACCTGTTCACGTTTAAAATAATACTTCACCTGCAAAATGATCATTTGTTATCATTTACCCACCACATAGTACCTTGAATATGTAAGCAAAACTTGGTTTCTCTGGCATGCCTCCATGGTAAACAGAGATACAAAAATCGCTAACATTCCTCGTGAATTTAAGTAAACAGGGACCACGTTTAACTACAGCAAAGCTATATCAAAATATCAGTTTACAACCTCTCACACAACTCGTGCAGTATAATCCAAGTCTCATTTATCCAGTCGTATGCTTAGTACTTTTCAAACACATGCACTTTTGCTAAAAAAAACATGCCCTTAGCTACCTGAGCATCCTCTAAGAGCAGAGTTCAGATGTACATGAGTGTCTGGACATGCTGCTTGGCCTTGCACGAGACTGTTTGTTTTAACCTGTAATGTTTTAGCAAATGTGTTTAGAAAGTACTGAACATGCGACTGAAAAAATGGGACTTGGATTATACTTTATGAGTTGTGTGAGAGTTTGTAAATGGATGTTTTGATATAGATTTACTGTTGTTGAATATGACCTGTTTATTTCAGTTCGTTAAGAATATTTGCCTTTTTTGGATTCTTTGCTCATTGTGGAGGCTGCGAGAAAAACAAAGTTTTCCTCACAAATTCAAGGTAACATGCGGTGAGTGATTGATATACAAATACTCATTATACAGTGCTTTTCAAAACAGTGTTACAAAGTGCTTCACAAGGCAGCAAAACAAAACACACAAGTGACGAAATCAACAGGTTTTAAAAGACTAATTTGGTGTATAAAAAACAAGGAAATTAAAGACAGTTCAAAGGAAATCAAAACTCAAGTAAAATCAGGAAAGGCTGTCTGATAAAAATATGTTTTAAGGAGAGATCACTGACTGGGCAGACTTGATTTCCTCAGGTAGATTGTTCCAAAGCCTAGAGGCCCTGACTGTACTAAGAGGTCAGAGATAGAGTCATGAGATAGGCCATGAAGAGCCTTGAAAGTATTCAATAAAATCTTAAGATCCATTCCAAAACATACTGGGAGCCAGTGTAAAGTAGGAGTGACATGATCACATCTCATGGTTCTGGTTAAAAGCCTGGCAGCTGGTCATTTGGTCATTTTCGGGTGAAGTATTCCTTCAAGTTTTGGCTTTGGAGATTTCATCAGAGCATTACTTTATAATCATAAATGACTAAACTTCCTGCTTGATATTAAGATACATATTGTATTATGTATTATGTATTGTGACAGCTCTAATGGCAGTGTCTGAGCAACCATTGTTTGTGTTCACTAGAAATTGCAGGATCTGGACGAGAGGCGAGTACGGAAGTTGGCGCAAGGCTACATCTTGTTCTCAGACACGGAGAAGCATGTGATGCCTATCATTGGCAAGTGCCTGGAAGGCATTACTAAAGCCGGCACTAATGTTAACGAGAGGAATGTGAGTTGGTCTCATAAAAATGCTAAATGGATTTGAATGTGTAGCATGGCTTTACGCAGACCCATTTGTTTTAACTGTGCATCTGTTGGAAAATAACTCCTGCTCTTATCCATAATTGCATCTATTACAGGACTCCATGGTTGTAATAGAGCAGAACAAGTCTGGCTTTGAACGCCCTGGAGATGTGGAGTTTGAGGACTACAGTCAGGGCATCAACCGAGCCTCATCTGACAGTAGCCTGGGGACGCCTAAAGGCCCCATGGAACTTCTGGGGAAGAATAGGAGCAAAAACTTTTGGCTTTTCAGCAAAAAGAGTAAGGTAGGACTGTCCACCATAGGCACATTTAACCCAGTGACATGGCCTCTCACTAAAAGATAAGTTTTTTTTGCATTGTGGTAATTGTGGTATGAATGCACTTGCAACCCCTCCACCAATGATCCATGGCAGCAGATATCAATATCAGCAGGTGGGCAGTCAGTTAGAATAGCGGGTGACTCCCTGCGCGACAATGTCAGTGTTTTGAGCCACAGCGGCTTCAGGAAGGAGGCAGGAAATCCCCTCTCCAGAGAGCACTCATGATGGACCTGTGGTTGTGGCTACACACACACACACACACACACACACACACACACATATACACAACCTTCTCATCTCTGACGCTCAGTAAATAATGCATGAATCTCTTTCATTATATTATACATGGACTCACCCCCCCCACCCCCCGACACTTCTAGAACAGGTCCTTTGCATGACTCTGTCCCTGACTGAATAAACCTTGCCCCCCCCAACACACACGCACCCTCCCTCCTTCTGCAGTGTGGTTTCCAGTAGGTCAACTGGCAGTCAGCATTCTGCTGTGCTTGTGCTTTCATCAGCACGGGGCCCAAACAACATTGAATTTTTCTCTACAGGCATCCACAAACACACTGCTTCTATTATACTGCCCAGAACCTAGCATTATGTCTCTCACCACAATAAAATCTTTGTACCAACAACTGGGATGACACCAGGTTTGCAAGGTCAGAAAAACTGGATCAGGTCCAGAAATTGCTGTTTTTGTATCGGGTCTTGAGAATTTATTTGGGTCAGAAGTGCTTCACTAAAGCATGGGTCTTATCCGAAAAAGAGCACTTATTGTTGAGGTCCGAAATTGAACTGGTGATATGAGTAGCTGACCACTAACCAGCTCACCCCCCCCCCCCCCCCCCCCCCCCCCCCCCCCCCCCCCCCCCCCCCCCCCCCCCCCCCCCCCCCCCCCCTCCTCCTGCCTCAGCACTAAACGATCCCTTCTTTCTTCCCCTGCAGTGTTTGCTTGTTCAGCGCCTCTCTCGCCTCTCTGCATGTCTTACTGGCTGTGCTCTGCTGTGCACTCTGTCTGTTCTGTGTATGTGTGTGGCACACTGCTCTGTGTCATCAGTCATGCTCTCCCAATTAGTGCTGCAGAGCAGTTTGAATAGGAGGCTGACTATACTGGCTTGAGTGAGCTTTTTGGTTTATGTCTGGCCCTTAAACATTCCCACTCTTAGCTGCTCTCCTGTACTTAGATTGCCATAACTCTCAAGAAAAGTAGCACATACCCAGCCGACGTTCACATAATGATAGTGCTGTACACGCAGCTCTCAGTATTTACACAAGGGACCTTGTTGTAGGTGTGTTTTAGACGTTCACTATTGAAGACTAGAAGACATCAGCCTCCTGTGTAGTTTAGCTAATAGATCCCACCCTCACCTTTGCACTCAGACATACAGCTGACACTGAGAGGTTTTGCTTTAGATCACTGCGGGCATGTTTTCAAGTTAACCTCTTTGTAAGAGGTCAGAGAGGCCCAGATGAATCTATATTCGCAGATGACACTGTGGTAATTAAGCAGGCTATTTATAGCAATTGCACTGATGTATGAATTGATATTTCATCTATATAGGTCAGGCTCAGTGGGTAGCACAGTTTGAACTGTGAACATGCATTTTCTCACAGAATCGTAATGATTGTGTTGGCTTATTTTCATTGTTTTGGCCACCATGAAGAAACATTTTACCGACTGATTCTCACTGGAGACGCAGAGAAATGCTGCGACCAAACTAGGAAGCTTTGCAAACTCTCAGAACTGTTGAAAAAAGATAATTTTTATTTTAAACCAGCTCTTTAGAGCATAAAACAATAAATCATTGCAGTCAGTGTTTAGATAGCCCAGTTTTATCCATTTGAGGAGCTAAAATCCAGGTACTTAACCTTAACGGTTTGAGTCATACTGGAATGAATCCATGATGTAAAAATATATAAATCTGTCAATAATTATTATTTTTAATAGCCGAGTATTGTATGCACCACATAAAGATATGTTTATGCATGGCATTTTAGGCTGCCCTCCACATTAATGTTGGCCCAGTTTAATATGCAACTCAATGTTGCACATGTTCTCGGGTGTCTGTGCTCTGTCTCTATTTCAGTTTAAGAGATCTTTAGCCCAAAAAACATTGAAGACCCCCTGTTATAGATAACTGAGGCATGATGCCCTACAGAGCCATGCAGGAATGAGTCTTAAAACCTAGAAAAGAGTTAGCATCTTAGCACTCCTGGTTCCCTTGTTTCAAAGTCAATGGGTATTTTGAATGGGTTTCTGATTAGATGCCTAAAATAAGGTCTGTAGTTCAAACAAGCTTGAGAGATTTTCAAGTTTTGCTCATAAAATAGCATAAAAAAGATGTCATCATGCCGAACATAGCTTAAAAACATTGTTGTGGTGGTGACATTAAAACACGTGACCCTAGGGTAGTTAGTTTACAGCTGAAAGTTAGCCTTTTACCTCTGGTGATTGCATTTATGCTTCAAAAATCTAGAATTGGTGTTCATAGTGAAAATTATCTTGCTGGTGACAAGAACTCGTAACCCATGATGGGTAAAACTATGAAAATAAGAGCCAGGCTGTAAAAGATTGTGTAGTTGGCCTGTCCTACTTCCTCATCGAGGCCCACCTGACCCTTCAACCATGCTTGAGTTTGACTGCAGGTGTTGGGCTGCTGTGGCTTTGGTGTAGGAGCTATGGTCGGTTGCTTGCTATCTTAATTTTTTGTATGTTTGTTTTTTAAATCTCTGTGTTGATAAAAGCCAAAGAGACAGATGTGTGTTTGTGCTTTCATGCTCTCTGGGCTCCTGTGCCGGGTTTGCTCCAGTGTTGTCTTCCTGGCTTTGTGGTGTGCTTTAAGGTGTTGATGGTGTCTTTTTCTTTCCCTTGTCACCTTGTTGTTTTTGTCTTCCCCCCTCCCCGTCTTCCCTCTTTTCCCTATCCTCTCATCCCCCTCTCCCCCATCCCTGCGCACCGCCTGCATACCTCATGCTCGGGTGCTGGTACTTTGGGTCTCGCTCCACCCACAGCTCTCTCCCTCCACGCTCCCACCTTTCTCCACACCCCCCGCCCCCTCGCCCGCTAACGGACCCCCTTCCCCCAAGTTTGGCCGGGACCCCCTGTCGTACTGTTTGAAGGAGATCAATAAGACAGTCAAACCCAGAATCTCTTCCTTCCGGACACTCAGGAGATCGGTGAGTCACCAGAGGAGAGGGTTTGGGTGTCAGGAGGCCTCCACTCATCAGGGCTTGCACATCAACCTGTGTTCCTGCCTGTGCAAGAACAACTGAATTCCTTAGCTGAATAAGACTATTCACATTTTTAACACTGAAACATGTAGCAGATTACATCTCACTATGGCTTTTTTTTGCTGTTCTTAAAGGAATAATGTGTAAGATTTAGGGGGATTTAGTGGCATCTTGTATTGGGGATTGCAGATTGCAGCCAGCTGAAACTTCTCCTGGTTAGGATTCCTTCAGTGGTCTGTGTTCAAGAGGTGTTTACTGGGAGACGAATTATACCCAGAGGTCTTTTCCTGTCCAAAAAAGACCATGTGATTTATACTTGTAAAAACACTGAATTAGAAAGGTCTCAAATTAAAAATCAATGTCTTTCCAATGCTGTTTGGCTTGTCGCAGAGGGCCACCTAATTATGGTGGCTGATGCTAAAATGTAGAAACACAAATGGCCCTATCTAGAGCTAGTGCTTGGTTTGTCCCTTCTGGGCTACTGTAGAAACATGGTGGTGTAACATGAGGATCTCCATGGATGAGGACTGGCTCCCTATGTAGATATAAACAGCTCATTCCAAGGTAACAAAAACATAATGATTCTTATTCTCACGTGATTATACACTAAAGAAAACTAGCTTATTATATCATATTCAATTGCTGCCATTATATCCCCCTAAATCCTACACACTGGACCTTTATTATTTATACATGTTATAAAGATGAAAGCAAGAGTCACTTTAAAAGATATTATGAGATGTTTCTACACACATACTGTTTCTTTTTCCCTCAGAAGTTTACTCCAGAGAGGATGACGGTAATATTGACATCAAAAAGCTGGTGTGGGGGACTCAGTTGTGACACTTAAAAATGGCCACCTTTCCAATACAACAGCTCATCGTATTAAAATAATTTTCCTTTAAAAAAAAAAAAATTGCTCAGATACATTTTGACTAAATGTCTGAACATGCAGCATCCATGTTCATGTTCTGTGGCAAAAGGCTTGTTCTCTTTAGCTTGTGTTGAAGAGGTGGCCACCTGGTGGTGGAGCAAGAGAGGGGTGCATGGAAGCACAAGCGGAAACAAATTTTAAAGTAGCCTCAATTGGTTTTGGCACTTTGATGGGTCACCTGTTTCTATTCAAGATTTTTTGTCTTGAACTTTAAGAAATCAGCCAATATAAAGTTATAAGAGTTTTCTATCTCACATTTGTCAGTTTTGGGTTCAGCTCACTGTTGTACATGTGCTGGTTTTACATTAATAACCCTAACCAGTGTGTCACTGGAAGATTTGAAGCTAATGTTTTGTCAGTTAAATATTTTCCCCTTGAGCTGAATTCAAACTGCAGGCGTTGTGTTCCTCCTGAGGTGTCTGTTTCTTCTCCATGGTTACTTACATTATGAAACTGTTGAGACTAAGTTCAGTGTTAACGTCCACTTTCCTGTGAACTCTTGCAGCCTACGGTGACAGAGGACTTTGCCCATCTTCCTCCCGAGCAGCGCAGGAAGAGGTTACAACAGAAACTAGAGGAAATTTGCAAAGAGCTGCAGAAAGAAGTAGATCAGAGGTGTGTGTGTGCGTTCGTGTGTATACGCGGGTATCCTTCTGCGTATTAATAACCATCCCTGTTAGAACTCCTCTGGTGGGAGTGTGGATATAATATTCATGCAGCGCACATCAGTGTGTGTAACTCTGTGGTGTCTGCGTGAGTGTGCGAATTGTTTACTCAGCCCTGAGCTCTGCAGGGAACCGATTTCTACTGAAAGTCACCCCCTCCTTCCTCCCTTGTTCCTCTCTCAATCTCCCTCTCTCCTCTCTTCAGCGAGGCCCTGGGGAAAATGAAAGATGTTTATGAGAAAAATCCTCAAATGGGAGACCCTGCTAGTCTGGCATCCCAAATCAGCCAGACGTCCCAGAATATAGAGCGGCTCAGAGGAGAGCTCAACAAGTATGAGGTAATTCTGACGTCTATTTCTTAATACATGTTATGAAATCAGCATTTCCCATTATGAGGTGCGCCCATTCAAAGATTTTGTTCCATATTAGGCCATACAAATGAACCTGACATGATATATTCACCATGTAATGCATCTCAATAAACAGTGTTTTAACACATCTGTCCTTTTCCTTTTCACTTTGGCTCTGTCACGTAGACTTGGCTGGCTGAGGCAGGAGGTCGAGGAGACACGTTGCGCTATAAAACTCACACATTCAACAACAACGGAGCTCACGACACACTCAGGTAACACCAACGTCTACTAACAGACAGTGTGTTTGGCACAATGATGTGCTGTCAGCTTCACAAAGGAAAACCAGTGTTTTTCTCTGCAGCCCTGATGGAGCTCACTCTGATGAAAGCACTCCCGACCCCTCGCAGGCCATCTATGCTGAGTTTGATGATGACTTTGAGGACGAGGAACTAGCTGCTCCGATTGGGAAATGCACAGCCATGTACGGCTTCCCTGGTATGTCACAGGCTCCTGTAGCTGACTGGGATGCATGAAAAATGATCCTTGATTAAATGTTTTAATGAAAAGAGCTCAGTTTCTTTCAAACCTCAGCTTTTGCCTTAGAAATCAGTAGCTTTCCTATCAATTTGACTTTTTAAAAGTGTTAGTGGTTTGATGATGCAATCTGGGTGAATAATCTTTGTGTTCCCACAGTTGGAGGAGTGTTTTCTTTAAAGCGTTCACTATTTCTGTTAATACCAGAGAGCGATGCGTAAATTTGGAGATTAAAGGGTGCTATTTGGCAGCAGCAAATTAGTGTATTTTTAAGGTGTTTTTGTCGATGCACATGCCTTCTGATCAGCAAACACTACATTAAGTTCTGCAGGGGCATGCACAGACAATTTGCATGTACCTCAATGGTGTAAAATACAGTTACAAAGTAACATTAAGCAATTTTGTGCTTGCATCACCTTGCAGCAACACAGTAATTGCAGGTGACGCCAGAGGAATCAGGCTGAAGTTGGCTTTGTCTAGTTTTGTATGTTTTATTTTATTTATTTAACCCAGAGTTAACCAGATCAACAATCTCTTTTATAAAGGAGACTTGGCCAAGACAGCAGCACACAAATGTTACTGCCGAACAACCACGCAATAAAAACCACAGAAGATATACAGTAACATGTGAAACTATTAGAACACCTACCTATGACAAGACCCAAACAACTCATTCATCCTTGTACTTGTAAGAGCTTTAAAGTCAGGTAGAGAGACCAGTTCATGTAGTTTCAAATCTTAAGGTATATGTACTAGAATACAGAGCAGATACAAAATATTATATAGGATTTCATGAGTATTTTCTGGCCTTATCTTCCCATATTTCACTGTAGCAATTAAAAGTCTTTCACTTGATCACCTGGCTCTCCAATGCTCTCTAAACTGGAGCTTTTGGGGTTACCCCCTCCACAGAATAGCACTTTCTCTAACATAATTTCAAAGACGAAACTCATTCACATCACCATGCAGAGTTATAACATATTGTATCTGTCACTGGCTGAAATATTTGTTTTAGTAAGTTATTGGCCTACTTCCAGCAAAAAACAAAATGCCTCTGAGAAAATAGGCCTACTTCCCCATAAATTAACTAAAGGAAGTGGTTGTTTGACATTTCTATCATAATGCCTCACCTCCTGATAGTCTGAATTGAGCTCTGCAGCTCTCCACTTAGTTGCCTCTCTCTTGCATGTAGCCTGCTGCCTATATGTTAGCCAGCTAGCTAGCCAAGGTTGGTTCATGTTATAGCATAATAGGAGGCAATGTGGTGCAATGTGATGCAATTGTGACGAACTGCATATTGGTCGCAAGCATATGTGGACATTTTTATTCACTAGGCATCCCAGTAATTAATGGTTAATCATTCCCACAACTTAAAAATACTCGACCCATCGGAGCTCTCAGTGGTTTGTTGCAGGAGTTTCACATGACAGTGGTCCTAGGGCACAGTTTTGTGCCATTTATCTCACAGTTGGTCTAACTTTGATATTTATGGGTTACTCATATTCCTCTTTTACAACAGCAAAAGTACAATTTTTTTCCTCCAGAGAGGCAGCTCAGCCAAACAGGGCAAATAGGCTATTACTTGTGTGACTTAAGAGATATACCTGTGCATGTCCCTGTAGTTCTGACAGTATTTTAATTTGTGTAGCAAAGAAGGAGGAAAATATTTCTTGAACCTGCATGAGGAGCGAGGTCAAAGGTTTTTTCTGTAGTAGCTACCATCTAGTTTGTATCTCTTTCAGGTGCCAGTGAAGGGACCATCTCCATGCAGGAAGGGGAGGTGCTGGCCGTGGTAGAGGAGGACAAAGGGGACGGCTGGACCCGTGTCCGTAGGAACAATGGAGATGAAGGCTACATACCTACATCTTATGTCACCATCAGCCTCAACAAATGACAGGCATATGAGGAATAAAATAAGAAGAAATGATCACTTCACCAAAACTGTATGCAGTTCTTCCCATGGGACCAATCATAAAGAAGCCACAGCACTATGGGCGGGGCCACTGGTGTACCCAGAAGGGGATCCAAATAAGGTGCTTTGATTTCTTGAGAGAGGTGCCCCAAATGGGCAGAGGGATGGCGCTGACGGTATGTTCCTCGTGGCTTACATTAAATTATTGTAATCCCAGTTACCTAAGCAACCTAAACCACAAGGTTATTTTACTTCTTGATATCACATCACAGTAATTTTTTGGTTTTGGTTAAAAAAATGTTGCATGGATCTTAGGCACCATCACGGTACGAGTGCTCGCCTTGTTCCACAGCCTAATAAGGCATTAGCTTCTGAATGTGGGAGGAAAGAGTAGAGGGAGAGAGGAGGAAGATGAGTGCTGCTGCCATCTTTACACTGAGTGTTAATACCAGTACAAACCTAGGAGGAAGTTACCTCACCTGTTTACCTTTTATTCAGTTAAAAACTGACCTGCAGTTCTCATTCGTCTCACGCGTGCCGCTTTCTAGCTTTACTAGCACTTGTGAAGATGTATGGCACCTTCACTTTGCTCGTGGTTGGACTCCAGATCCTGAGTGTCCCCAGGGGACGAGTGAGGTATGGGGGAGAATGCTTTACCTTTTGTTTCCAGCAATTTGTGAGACCAAATGTGTAGAAGCCTCCCCGTCTTGGTAAATCACATGCACACAACCGTACAAGAATAAGACAATCACAGCCATATCATCATTTAAATTCACTTTCAATCCATAGCAGTAACAAGGATATAACAGATGTTTTCTAATAGCTACAACCTGAAAATTGTGCTAAAAATAATTTATTACAAATGTGTATGTTCTATGAATAAACTTTTTTTTAGGTTTGACAGAAGTTGTACTTTGTATTAAGGATATTCTCACATTGTTCTTTTCCCCTTGCACACATAGTGGACAGTCTGTAGCCACAAAAGGGAGTAAATAATGCACACATCAAATGCGCTACATTAAGACTATTGTATTTATGTAATAAATAATATATATTTTAGCTTTCACAACACCACTATTGTCTTATTAGCTTTTTTTAACCATTCAAATAAAGATTGTTGCATTGTGAGAGAAAACTAAAAGTCTCTAATTATGTCGCTAATAATGTTTGGATTTACTTCACATCTTCCAAGTCCTGTTTTTTAATTACATTGTTATGGAGCCAGCAACAAGCAGTAACTGCTCACGTGTCTTCGGTGCCTTCCTCTTTAAAACCATTGTGTATATAAACCTTTTTTTTTTTTTTTTTTTTTGCATATAAGACATTTTGTTTTCTTAATAAATGTAAAGCACATTTCAAAGTTAGAAGTGGTTACATCATTTCTGGACTTGAAAATTAAATATTTGAAACAGACATGGTGTTTTTTGGTCGTGTGTTTGTACAATTTCTTGTTCCATTTTGTGAGTTTTAGGTCTATAAAGTCATTCAAGTTGGACTCTAATGAGTAGTGACATCCATTTTGAGAGCTTTGTCTGCCAGAACATCTCAGTCAATATATTTTCTGCTTCCCAGGATAGTTTAGTCGATACCTGTGAGCATGCATCACTTTTAACTGAAGCATGAAACTGTGGAAGCTGGATTTGTAGTTTCAGCGGGTTTAAAATGAGGCAGGAGGTGGATGGAGGATTTGAGGTTTTGCTCGTCAAACAAGATTTATTGCAAATTCTGCTTTCATACTAATGACAAATGCATTTCATACTCACAGTCTTAACTTTTTAAATCATCTCTCTGTGACAGCTGTCATTTGATTTCTCTCTTACTTTCATTACACAGTCTTACAAATTCAACACTGACTGAGCTGGTGTGTGCTCAGGAGGGTTTTTCCTCCATGACTTCAACACAGTTTTCTATATAAACACCCAGGAAACCACAATGTCTAATCTCTTATCACAAAACAATCTATACACACCCGTTTCTGTAAAACAACCATTTCCCAATACACATTCTGTTTGGTGCCAAAGGTTGTAATGATTTTGAGGGTTTATAGCACCAACCCATTTCTCAAACACATTTCACAGCTAAATTTCAAAATATTCCCACTGAGCTGGGTGCTATATAATCAATAATTGTATTTTTAAAGTCTTTAAATATCACTTTAAAAACACGTGGGTGCTGCTTGAGAATCACTTGGTGTAAGAAGCTGCACACGTCTTGCCTTCTAATTAATCAGTGTTTTGTCAATGAGGTTGATAAATATAATTGCATCGCAGTAATGAGTGTGTCGCTGCCGTTGTTTCAGGGTAGAAAGGTCGTGATGACATTATCCAGCAGCTGAAGACAAAATTCCACTTCCTTAATTTAATAAAAAGAGAAACAGTTATTATCAGGGGGCCCCAGAGTTTACTGCCTCGCCTGTAACCATCAGAGTAGGTGCAGGTTGTTGTCAGTAGGTGGCACTGTTGCATAATTCTAAGGGAGGTGGCATAGATCTGCGTCTACTCTCCACTCTGCATAATTATGTTTTCGATATAGGCCATGCATTTGCATACCTGATTAAATTGCACTGGCTTCAAAACCATACTGTTTATAATGACTAATTAAATAACCCGAAATTGGCAAGCGCCCCACTTTCATACTCACCTTATTCACGACAGCAGACGAGCGAGGAGACAGACAATGAAAGTGAACTGGGTCACACACAGGGTTCAAACTGAATTATTCTGTCTTATTTCCAATGGAAATTAAAAAGCACTGGGGAGAAGTGATGGAGCTCGGCTCAGCGAAGGGAGCATCCAGCGGTGGCCTGCTGTGGCATTGACTGACTGGTCAGATGACTGAGGAATCAGATCATCATTTGTATGCAAAGCCTCTAGTCTCAAGATGCGTTAAAGGTCAGCGTTTCAATAAGGCTACTGCCCCCGAGCCAACATCCTGTGCCTGCCTACAGCTGACAACACTCCATCCTGGCATCTCAGCCTGGCGGGGACACTAGAGAGGAAATCCAAACAGAATATAATAGAGGTTATAGCAGCTGCTCCAGTACCTGCCGTGGATTCATACTTTAAGCATGTTGCACACACCAGTCACCAACACCTGCTGTAACATCATGACTGGACACAAAGGCAACACGCTTAAAGTATGAATCCACGGCAGGTACATACTTTAAGCATGTTGCACACACCAGTCACCAACACCTGCTGTAACATCATGACTGGACACAAAGGCAACACACTTGGATGTTTGAGCTGACACAGACAGGTACAGCAGCAGTTTTCTGCCCTTTGTGAATCATTACAGATTTGCCCTTTTAAAACAGACAACAGTGACGGGGTAATTTCACCTCGGCTGTCACAACTTACCATACCTGTTAACAGCATCCATTATCTCCCGTCTAACGACAGGGATTAGACTAGAGCTGCTCCAGTGGTTTGGAACATACATTGCAGAAAGATCTGAGAAGACATTTGGCAAGAGGATAGTTGTACAAGATGGCATTTACAAGATAGCATCTCTATTAATGTATCTCATATCTTTCCTCCACCTCTTAGGCAGATTACAATATTTAATATGGCCAGAGTGTCACTCTATAATCTTTGTTTCACTAATCCATTTAACCACTCCATAAAAAATGTTTTACATCCCAGTAGTGTGTAACGAAAAGCCGAAAAAATATACATTAATGTTTAGACTTTGTGTGGATTTGCGGGTTTAAAAAACAAGCCACTTCTCTATATATATATATATATATATATATATATATATATATATATAAAAAATCAAGTAAAATGAATAAACATTTCAAACAGTAATGGATATGCGTGGGGTGTTTTTATATCTGGGAAAATTAAAACATTTTTTTGTAACCTTGTATATAAAAAAGCTACAGATCACGTACCACTGCAGATTTAGAGGTTGAACATGATTTCATTGTGGAACTGTGAGGCGGAAATACAGTATCTGACTCCACCATGACAGCATGTGGTGGTGGTATGTGGTTGCTGGTGGATTAACTGCGCCTTTGAAATGCCTCCAGCACAAAAGATTAAACCTGGATGTCGGACCTCAGAGGTTGTTGATGTCACTGTTGGAATGTGAAGTACATTTACTTAAGTACAGATTTGAGGTACTTTTATTTGAGTATTTCTATTCTGTCTATTTATCTGACAGTAGTTACTTTTTACTGTTTACTATTAAGATACAGAACATTAATCAGCTTATGAATTATGATGTACTAAGACACCTCACAGTTCTGGACATCGATGGCTTAATGGATAGAGCAGACGCCCCGTGTACAAGGCTGTTGCCACAGCGGCCGGGTTTGACTCCAGCCCATGGCCCTTTGCTGCATGTCACTCCCTCTCTCTCTCTCCCCCCTCTCACCTAACTGTCCTATCAATTAAAGCCAAAAAATGGCAAAAAAAAAAAATCTTAAAAAAAAGACACCTTGCAGTATTTAAAGTAGTTGAAATGACCCCCACCTTTACCAGCTGTAACATTAGTGTTGCTGACACATGAAAGCATCAGTAATACAATAGAGACTTTTGGTACTTTAAGTATATGATAATGCTAAACATTTACTTAAAGGAGTAGTATGTAAGATTTAGTGGCATCTAGTGGTGAGGATTGCAGATTACGACCAGCTGAAACTTCTCCCATGTACTAAGTGTGAACCTCCATTAAGGATTCCTTCAGTGTTCACTGTTCAGGCGGTTTTATCAGAAGGGAGGTCTCTTTCTCTCCACAACAAACAGACCAGGGTTCTCATTTATAAAACAGTGTGTAGGATCCATACTAAAAATGTACGAAGGGACAAAAGCCAGAAATGGTGTTTCTATAGGCCTAATCAGGTTTCCACCTCACCATCTGCATCATCAATTTCCCATCTCTAAAACATTTGTGAGCGTGGGTCAGAGTTTCTCCCGTCAAGTTTGTTTGTATAGATCACAACTTTTGCATGGAAGGTGGTGTGCACTTCTTTCAGGCCTTGTTTTGTACGCACATAATGTTTATAAGAGA